TCCCTACTCTATCTCTGGTGAAGCCTTTCACCGCCCCTGAGCCTCTGGCCTGTATCCCAGTTCTGTATGCACAAATAAATAAATCTTTTAAAAAAAAAACAAAACAGTAAATTTGGATCTATCGTATGATCCAGCAATTCTATTCCTAGGACTCTACCCAAAGAACGCAAACACACTAATGCAAAAGGAAACCTGAACTAAGTCTACTGCAGAACTATTTATAGTAGCTAAGATATGAAAACAACCTAAATGTCCCAAAAGAGGTGACTGGATGAAAACACTATGGTGTGTGTATATATATATATATATATATATGTATATACATGTACATATATATACACATAATGGAATGTTACTCAGCAATCCAAACAGATACACTCATGCCACCTGGGACAATATGGATGAAGGTGGAAGGGATTATGGTAAGCATAACAAGTCAGAAGGAAAAATATAAATATCTGGTGGTTTCACTTAAAGGTGGAATCTAAAGAAACTGAACAAAAGGTCAAGAAAAAGACAAACATGCAAGCAGATCACAGACCTGCGGCATCATAAATAACCAAAACGGAGAGGGAAGAGCACAAGGGACTAAGGTGAGGGATGACATATGCTACGGTGGTGGGAGAACTATACTCAAGGGGATTTCGTACAAATACTGTACAAAAAAAACAATAAAGAATATATTTTTTTAAAGTAGGTATTCAATTATTCAGCATGCCAAGGGGTGAAACCAGATAGCAGATTTTTAATAAACAGAGGCCAAGTTGAACTTTCACTGCATTCTTAGAATACTCTGAGAATTCAGCCAGGGCCCTCCCTGGTGGCGCAGCGGGTTAAAGCACTGCACTGAGCAGCTAAAGCCACTTCCGCATGAGTTCGATTCCCACCTGCCCAGGAGGTGATCCATATGGCGTGGCAGACCTCTCCTGACCTGCCCGCTGCTCCCCTCAGCAGTGTACTTCGTTGATCTGCCTGTTCTGCTCCCCACTCTGTGTCTGGTGAATCCTCTCACTGCCCCTGCACCCCTGGCCTGTACCCCAGCTCTGTATGCATAAATAAATAAATCTTAAAAAAAAAAAAGAACTCAGCCATTACTTCTTAAGATCATATGGGCATGTATAAAGGTTAATATATAGATCATAAGTTGATTTATGCTCTTACACATGGAAACAACAAGGGTTATGAATATGCTTTAAACAAAACATAATTTGTGAAATATCAAGCAGAGTTTTAGAACTTAAAATTATTTTTTTAAAAAAAGCACACTAGTAGAAAAGGCATTAAAATCTGATTTGAAAAATTTAGAAAGTGATAGTCAACATAACATAAAATTTCTAATAGAATACACTTCAATAGATGTTACAGAAGCAAAGTTTCATCAAATGAAAGAGGCAATTCAAAAGAAATACTGAAAAAATGTCAGAGGCAAGTTGGATTTTGTTTTTAGAAAACATTAACAGAGTTTGTTTATAGGAATTTACCTTTTTGGTTCCTGTCTTCTTTTTATATTACTGTACAAAATATCTGTATGATCTGGTTTCTGGGAGAAAAAAAAAAGTCATTTAGGAAATATACATTAGGTACTGCTACTATTGTTATTAAGGGAAGGAGATCAAGAGACAATATTTTTTCCATACCTATGTGTTAATAAATAGGTTGACATCACAATTTACTTAATTGTTCCATAATTTTGAGATATGGAATGGATCATTCCCATTTTAAAGGTAAATTACCCAAGGTTCAAACAGAGCTTAAGTATCTTCCTCAGCATCATAGAACAAATCAGCAACAGAACATCATTTAAAACTAGATCTGTCGGGCCCTCCCTGGTGGCGCAGTGGGTTAAAGCACTGCACTGAGAAGATACAGCCACTTCCGCATGAGTTCGATTCCTGCCTGCCCCGCAGGTGACCACATAGCGTGGCAGACCTCTCCTGACCCGCCCCGCCCGCTGCTCCCCTCAGCAGTGTATTCGTCTGCCTGTTCTGCTCCCCGCTCTGTCTCTGGTGAAGCCTCTCACCGTCCCTGAGCCTCTGGCCTGTACCCCAGTTCTGTATGTACAAATAAATAAATCTTTAAAAAAAAAAATTTAAAAAAAAACTATATCCGTCTGCTCTACTCAGTCACTCTTTCCCTCTCTAAATACAGGGATACAGGTTTAAGCTCAAGAAACAGAAAAAGCAGGAGATATTCTTTGGCGTAAAGGAAAAGGATAAAGGATAAACACATATGTACAAATAACTTAAGCTCATAACTAAGTATCAAAGCAGAAAAAATGGACATGTTATAGAAAAGTACAACACATCAAACATAAAAGCTGGAAAATAACCACTATTCACTAAAAGTAGTGAATATTTTTAGTGAATAGTGGGTATTTTTAATGAATAAAACGTTTGCTAACAACTGAATAAAGAGAAAGACAGAGGAACTGGGAAAGTCTGGAGTCATCTCTCCTTCTATGAGCCTGCAAATCAGCATCAGCAAGGAGACAACTGCACTTGGAAGAGAACTAAGGACACTGATACAGGTTTCCACAAGAAGGTGAGAAAATGATAAAGTGTGGAACACCGAGAAACAATTCCACCAGGAAATAACATGGTACTGGGAGAGGCATCCAGCCCTCCAGCACCTGACTCTCAGGATTTCCCTTTGACTCCTGGCCCACTATAGCCTGGCAAGTGCCGCCTCACTAAAAGAACACTAACTACAGAAGGTCTATGGAAATGGGGCAGTGGGTATCTAGACTGGCACTTGCTCCTACCTCACATGAACTTCTGGGCTTCCCCTCAGTTCCTAGCTCACTATAGATCTGTGAACATCACCTCCTTTCTCCCCTACAACAATGGATGCAGGGTGGGTGGGAAACTAACACACCCGGGACTAGTGGCAGTTAGTCTAGCAGTCTCAAAAAGTATCTGTTCCTACCCCATTTGGGCTTGGTAGGCATCTGGGCAGCCTAACTACTAAGTAATCAGCAACTGACAACTAAAACATGGCTCTGTAGCCCAAGCCCACAGCCTTCTGACCACTCTGTTCATGCCTGAATTCACGGGAAAGGTACAGCCAACAAAACATGCTTAGGTCATAACTAGGCTAGAGTTTAAGAGTCAGTAGCTCAATAGCTACAGGTCCAAGAAAGGCTTATGGTCCTGGTAATCTACTGCAGCAGCATTTATATCCTCCTAATCTCCAGCTCTCATCATCCAGCCTGGGTTCCTGGATCACTATCCCATACTGGCTCTTGAACTTGAGGCAGCCTGATTGGTGATGTAAAACATCAACCAATACAGCAACAGAAACATATTTTCCAAGGCCAACACCATAGCCAACACCCTATATCTGCAATTCTAACCAAAGGCCATCACAGCAGGACTAGAAAGGAAAGCAATCTAGCTTAATCCATAGAAACAATCAAATAGCATCAAACAGAATAAGGAGGTGAAGTAATTTACCCCAATCAACGATCAAAATGAAATCCCGGGAAAATTCCTAGTATAGCTGAGTTAACCAAAACTACCAAAAGACTTCAGAACAATAGTCTTAATGATGACTGAAATTTAGAGAACAAAGAATTTTTTTTTAAAAAAGAGAAATACAACAAGGACAGAGAAACTATTAAAAAGTAGTCACAGACATAAATAATGCAAATGGTGAATCTAAAAATACAATACAGTGGTTTATACAATGGGAAAAGGAAAGTATAGTCAACAAATGGTGCTGGGGAAAGTGGACAGCCATCTGAAAAAGAATGAAATGCATTAGACCACTCTCTCACACACTACACAAAAATTAATTCAAAATGGATTGAAGACCTGAAACCAGAAAATATGTAGAAAAAATACAGGCAAAACACTCTGTGACATGATATCAATGATGTCTTTAGGGACTCAACTCCAAGAACAAGGGAAACAAATGCAAAAATATATAAATGGGACTGCATCAAATCTCCACAGTGTGAAAAACAGGCATTAAAACTACAGGGTATCCTATTAAATGGGAGAAGATATTTGCACATCATCCACTCAGTAAGGGGCTAATATCCAGTATCTACAGAGAATTCACAAAGTCAACAAGAAAGCAAATAACCCAATCAAAAAATGGGCAGAAGAGTTAAACAGGCACTTCTCCACAAAAGATTGACAGAAACCCAATGAAAAAGTGCTCATCACTTAATAAAGGGAAATGCAAATCAAAACCATGGTGAGATACCACTTCACACTGGTGAGAACAGCCCATCTCAAATCTCAAAAAGACCAGACCAACAAATATTGGTGAGTATATGAAGAAAAAGGAACTTTTATACACTGATGGTGGGAAGGCAGACTAGGCCAGACCTTGTGGGAAAACAGTACGGAGGTCTTTCAAAGCATTTAAAATGCATCTATCACATAATCTAGCAATCACTCTCCTATGTATCTATCTGAAGCATACAAAAACACTAGCTCAAAGAGAAAGTATACTTTTCTATGTTAACTTTTCAAAGTAGCCAAGCTACAGAACCAACTTAAGTGCCCAAAGACAGATGGCTATGTAAAGAAGTATGACACATATGCACAATAGAATACTAAGGTATAAAAAAGGATGATATCTTGCCACCTGCCATACATGATTAGAACTGGTGGTTGATTATGCTAAGTAAGTCAGAAAGATAATGACAAACACTAGATTATTTCATTCCCATGTGGAATGTAAAAAACAAAAGAAACCAACAACAACAAAAAAATCTGAAATCTGAAATCTGACTACAGAACTACAGCTACCAGAAGGGGCGGAGGGGAGTAAGTGCAGAGTGGGGAAGAAAGACCAATGAACTATGGTGAAGAATTACTGGGACTTGGACCATGGGTGTGATATGATAACATAACTTGCACAGGTCTGAATCTATACTTCTAAAACATACATGGTGTTGTAAACCAGTATTACTATAATAAATATAATTTTTAAAAAGGAAAATGAACACTGAATGAAGATTAGTAGGTGATGGGTAAAAGAAAAAGGCATTCTCAACTATGAAAGTCTGACATTCTAAGAAGCTGAAATAAACTGGTATGAATTCAGCAGAGAGAAATCAAACCAGCAGAGCTAAAAGCATAAGGACTCTTTCAAGGAAGGAAAGAAAAGACAACTGAATAGTTACGGTATGACCAAATTAAGAAGGTCCTACATGATAAAATAAAAAATGAATGAAGACTTTTCAATAGAGTAGAAATATGATATAATCATTGTTTTAAAAAGGTTAGTATAGCAACAAAAAGTTGAAACAGCCTTCTCATTACATGAAAACAAAGTCCTAAAAACACAATTCTGCATTCATGACAATTTCACCACTGTTTTCCTTTGTTACCCACAACTGTGGAGCTACTTGCATACATACCTAACTTCCACTTGAATGTGGAAAGTACTAAACCAACCAAGCAGGCACAAGTTTTGTGTGTTTAGTCAGCTGTCATTACTTCCAGGTATGTGTGAGAATGGAAAGAATTCTGAACTTAGCTCTGTTCCTGCACATGAAGTTGTATCCATGTACACTTTTCTGGATCTCAAATTGTGAATTTGAAAATGCAAACACTGTTTCTGCCTTAGCAATCTCAACAAAAACATATTATAAATATAACTATACTTGAGAGAAGACATAAAAGCTACCTAATTTCAATGCATGTTATTTAATCTCATGTGATAGGCTCTATCAACACTCACACACAAAATGTGTTAAATGCTATTTGGTAAGGAATAGGAAGGGGAAAAGTAACCTAAGCACTGCTTTTCATTCCAGAAAAGTAAGTATAAGAGAAAGAAAAAATTAAAACACAGACCCTCTAATTGGAAAGATTAATACCATATGATTTACCTATATTTGGAATCAAAAACAAAACTACAGTGAGTCAAGTTGACAGACAGGGAGAACAGAATTATGTTTGCCAAAGGTGGGAGGTTAGGACAAGCTGGTAAAGGAGGTGAATGGTACAAACTTCCAGTCATAAAACAGCTAAGTTCTAGGGATATAATATATAGCAGAGTGACTACAGCTAAAACACTGGCTAATAATACTGTATTGCATCGTTTAAAATTGCTAAGAAAGCAAATCTTGAACATTCTTATCATAAGAATAGATTCTTCCAACTACATGCAGAGTTAGGTGGGTGTTAACTGGACTACTGTGGTGCTCACTTCACAATATATACAAGTCCAGAATCAGTGTGCTGTATACCTGAAACTGATAAAATGTTATGGCAATTCTATCTCAATTTTAAAAAAAAACTCTATCTATACATTAACTCTTTAATATAATTTTTACTTAGTTGCAGCATCTAAACACTCACCAGTTTTCTCTTCTCTGATGAAACAGATCTTGTAGAGCAAGGTGAACTAAGAGAACTTGAGGTTATTTTCTCTTTCTTATCCTAAGAATGCCAATTGGAAAAAATATTTAAAAAGGCACAAAATAAGGCACAGTACAAGACTGCATCATTTCATCATTATTATTATTAACATTCTTTCCATGCTAACAATAAACCTCAGAGGGGAACAATGTTTAAAGATACAAACTTTAGTAATAGGAAGGGAAGCTTGAGTAGAAGGGAGGCTCAGGCCCTCCCCAGTGGCACAAAGGGTTAAAGCACAGCACTATGAAGCTGTCACAGCCACTGCAGCATGGGTTAGATCCGGGCAAGGGAGCTGACCCACAAGGCGTCACAGATCTCTCCTGACCTGACCTCGGCTCCCCTCAGCAGTTTATTTCGGTAGATCTGCCTGTTCTGCTTCTTGCTCTCTCTGATGAATCATCTCACCCACACACACCTGATTTGTAACCCTGTTCTTGTATGCATAAATAAATAAATCTTTAAAAAAAATTGAGTACGAGAATACACAAATAACTAATATATTTGGAAGAAAAAGCGAAGAAAGTGTAACAGGGAGGTCCCTAGGAAAAGGGGAAGTTTCAGGTTCCCTGTCCCACCCAGAAGGAGGGTGGAGCTGAAGAGAAAAAAAGAAGACAAGAGAAGGAATCTGAAGGGAAGAAGGAAGCAGGATGGAGAGCCAGAAGGAGACCTGAGGAAGCCACATGGAGCAGGGAGCATGTGAAGAAACCATGCTTGCTTTTGGCCCTGGACTGGTTGAAAGTGATGTGGGTGAGAAACCTGCAGGGAGGTTGACTATGGCAGTGTTTATATTGATTTTGATTTTGCTCTTTTCCTACCAGACTTGTCTGGCCATTTCTGACCCTCTTCTATGGGTCCCAGCCAGAAGGTGCTTTAGTCTTGTCAGGCTTTCAGGCCTTGCTTTGGGCCAATCCCTTTGGTTGGCTTTTTGTCCATGAGGGGATGGGTAACTTCAGGTGTTTGATTTAGAAATTATATTCTTTGTCTTTCGTATTGCATACTCACTGTATTAAAGTTCCTTTTCATTAAAGTCTTACATATTTTGTCTTGATGCGGCAGATGGCAGAACCTATTTAGAGCAGGCAGGTTTGGTGATTTGGTGGTGCCCCTCTCCCTGCCCTGTAACAAAAGGAATCTGCAAGGTCTGGGAGGTAGAAATGGAGGCAAAACAGAGCAGATGGATGAGGCTTCACAGAAGGGTTTTAGATAGACACCTTAAGAAGGTACAAAGCAGGGGGTCCCCTGGTGGTGGATGGATGAGTGTCAGTTAAACTGGGTGGTCCTGAGGCAAAGGATAGTTCCAGGTTCCCTGTCCCCCCCCCCCCACCGCCCCCCAGAGGTAGGGTGGAGCTGAGAAGAGAAAAAGAGAAGGCACCTGAGGAGGATGGAGAGCCAGAAGGAGATCTGAGGAAGCCACAAGGAGCAGCAAGCATGTGATGAAGAAACCGTGCTTGTTTCTTGGCCCTGGACTGGTTGAAACAGATGTGGGTGAGAGACCCATGGGGAGGTTGACTATGTTGGGAGTGACCAAATGCGGAGATTTACTGAGGGACTGGATAAGGGCAGTAATAAATCAGGCCTTGCATCCAAGGGTGATAAGGTGGTAATAAACTGGGCCTTACATCTAATTAACGGGTCCTTGCATCGATGGGACTAGATGAAGGTAATAACGAACTGGGCCTTACATCAAGGACACAGCGATGAGTCACCCCTTTGAAATCTGAGTTTAGGACCTATATAAGAGACTCTTCCCCATTATTGGGTTGGCAGTAGCTGCGGACCCCACTCTAGGGGCTCCGTCTCAGCTGCTGTCCCGGAGCAATAAACTCTGCTTGCTCAGCCTTTCTGCCTCCCGCCTTCCTTCTTGCAGCCGGTCACAGAAGTTGGGACAAAACAGACTATAGCAGTGATTATATTGACTTTGACTGTGCTCTTTTCCTCCCAGACTTGTCTGGCCATTTCTGACCCTTTTCTATGGGTCCCCGCCAGAAGGTGCTTTAGGCTTATGGCAGGCTTTCAGGCCTTGCTTTGGACCAACCCCTTTAGGGTAGACTTTTACTCACGAGGGAATGGGTAACTTCAGGTATTTCATTTAGAAATTATATTATCTTCTGTGTTTTATACTCACTGTATTAAAGTTCCTTTCCATTACAGCTCTTATGTCTTGTCTTGATGTGGCAGATGGCAGATCCTATTTAGAGCAGGCAGTTTTGGGGGTTGAAGGGTGCCCCTCTCCCTTCCCTGTAACAAGGTGAGCTCTGAAAACTGACCTAGTAACATGGAAACCATTGCTGAGTTTGATGAGCACCCATTTGGGAAGTTTCTTAGACTAGGTTTAGAGAATGGGAGAACTGCAGGCAGCATCCCAAGTATTAGTGCCAAAAGGGAATATGCAAGTCAAGGACAGCAGGATACTAGCTGGTCACACTTCAAGGTTTTATCACAATACCTGGGAGGCTAAATGTATAATCAAGAAAGTTAATAAGCATCAAACACTGAGAAGTGTATAAAGTCTGGAACACTTCATCCAGATGATGAAAAAGCCTTGTGAACTAACTGTGATCACAGAAAACCACTTCGTCAGTAAGTGCTCACCCTTGCCTGATCAGTCTCTCATCTTGGACAATAATTTCACATACACCTGGTCTAATTTTGATATTGTACTATGCAGACTAATCAGAAAGTTTACAGAAAAACTGACTGCAGGGTTTTCTACTTCAGTAACTTACCTCATTTGAAATCTTCAAGATGCTTCCTGGAGACCTATTCAGCTCAATTTACTAGATATCTTAAATTTAATCTACCAAAATGTTCCTCCAGGCAGTGCACTGCCTAAAAGAAAAGGGAACATGGGGAGCATGTCTCTCCTGTGGGGAGCATGTCTCTCCTGTGGGGAGCATCTTCAAGATGCTTCCTGGAGACCTATTCAGCTCAATTTACTAGATATCTTAAATTTAATCTACCAAAATGTTCCTCCAGGCAGTGCACTGCCTAAAAGAAAAGGGAACATGGGGAGCATGTCTCTCCTGTGGGGAGCATGTCTCTCCTGCCGGTAGCCTCCCCTGCAAGCAGTGGCCCCCTGCAGCTGATGAGCACATGACCTTATACAGCTTGCTGAGCAAGGGAAGAGGGGAGACCATGTGGACAGTGGTGAAATGGTAAGTTATTACTATGAAAAAGAGGATTTGGGGAGTTTGGGGGAGTTAGAATTGAAGTTAGAAATGCATAGGCAGATCATTTCTCTCCATTAGTCCTCTTGTCTTCATTTGTGTAACTGGTATAGCAACTACTTTGTAGAGTTGTGAAAAATAAAACAGTGCACTCAAGGAATGAGAAAAAAAAACATCTCCTAGGCAAGAAGAGCAAATATTTTCTTTTTTTTTTTTAATATACTTACATATTTCATTTTAAAACTGAGGGCACTTCCCTCCCATTACACAGTTAAACTGCAAAAACCACTAACTTTAGGTCAGTAAATCAAAATTCTTACTTCAACAAAGTTTGGTGATGAGATAATGCTTTTTCTCCAAGACTTCTCTTTTTTCCCACAAGATTCTTTGCTGGACATTTTGAGAAGCTAAAAAATAATAATAACAATAATTAAAAACATTATTTTTTTTAAAAAACCTCATTTATCTTCAAATATATGAAGATTGGAGTTTCAGAAAATGATTTCCATTTTCTAGCCATCTATAAAACAGCAGGAAGTTCTTGTGTTACTTAATTTTACTTATATTCTCCCTCATAATGACATGTTTCCTTTTATAATATAACCCTCTGTTTTCAATTATCACCTATAGGAATAACTCAAAATTCTGCCTTTTGCCCTGATTTCTTTCAAGTATCACAGCAGCCTTTTCTACTTAAAGAACTGCAGTATTTTGTACCTCCTACACCTCACAACAAATGCCAGAGACCATGTCTGCTGAGATAGCAAAGTAAGTCTAGAGTCAAAGTCTAGAGAAGGGTTTACTACTAGTTGTAAGGAGTACTGCTGCCTGATGGTGTTCAGCATGGGATGATGATTACTTGGAGTCCAAATAAATTGGAGTAATGAGAAGCCTAAAGGGACCTCATCTCTCCTATAGATGGGAGAAGTAAGATGCCGCCCAGCTTTAGGTCAGTCTAGCTTATTATTTACATTTTATTGAGAATCAGGTGAAAGATAAAAATCAAGCAGCAAGCATGGGGGTTTGGAGGGATGGGGTGGGAATGGGATGCCACTGGGTAAGTCACAGCTGAGTTATCTCAGTGTCCTTGCTAATCTAAGCATAACATCTTTTGAGCTCAGGGTGCTCCTGGTATTCCTGATAATCTAACCAGTACAGCCCTTCCTCATACCAGGCTTTTGCCCTTGGCAGTTCCTTATTTACAGCTTCCCTAATTGTACTATGGGTTCAGGGTACAGAGCAATCCCACAGTATATTGATACTATGAAAATAAGAAAGGTTAAAACCAAGCAATTCCAATAACTCATAGTTATTTAACATGACCAAATAAATGACATTCTATAAAAGAATCATTAATTCTACAAAATCAAACTTTTAGAATGCCTTGATGATATATAAAGAAGAAAAATGCTGATAGTTAACAGGAAAAAAAAGCCTAACAGTAGTGAAATTTTATTAAAGCTTATCGCAGGCTTCGAAGAATAAATTCTAAATTAACCAGAAGTTTTGCTACTTAAGATAGCTCATGGTGATAATTCATAATTGCACTTCAAATCAGAGTAATCTTTGCTCTGTCTTGTTCAAAGGATTCTCTTTCATGAGCGGACAGGTACAATATAAAACAGTAGCTTCTATGAGATGCTCTGGGGCAATAGAAAAATTATGTCACTTATCCTAATTTAAACTGGCTGTGGTGGTCTCATGTTGTTGATTTTGCTATGGGAAAATAGGGTGTGAGAATTGGGAGATTATGCTCTGGGTTTATGAGTCCTCACCCATGCACTTAGTAATACAGAAGACCCAAAAGCAGATTTACATAAGTGAGCAGAGAGAAGAAAATGTATTAGCAGGTACTTAGAAGAAAGCCATCTGTCCTACCTGCAGGTGGTATCAGTTAAGCAGAGATAAGGGTCAGTGGACTCCAAAAAACAGACACCAGCCTACCTGTATTGTCTTTTAGATCAACCTGGCAGCTCTGCTCTGCCCCTAGTTTCCACCAGTACCATCTATCAACATTCAGAGGTTCTAGGGGTGGAGCCCCAAAAGCTCACCCTTTATCATACAGTAGGTAATTCGTGCCACCACTGGCCTAGCGGTTGCTTTTTGTTCCTCTTATACTTTAAATACAAATAATGCTTACCCCAAAAAAAAAAAAAAAATGGCAGGGGGAGGGCACTGTAGATAGACTATCAAAGGAAAACACCAATGTTTTGAACATGACAGATGTTTTGTATTAGTATGAAATTCATATTGATTTTCTGAAAATCAACATGGACCTATGCAGGTATAAAATGGCTTCTGATAATCTTTGCTACTTTATGCAGTTCTCTTTCACATAAAAGGGCTGGTTTATGTAACCAGTAGGGTATTGCTATGTGGCAGTTTGTGGGTCACATAGGACACTGTTGCTCTGACCTTTCTCTCTCTTGATTTGCTCACTCTAGGGAAGGCTTGACATCGTGTTAACAATACATTCTAACAAACAGGGAGGAGAAAGCCACCAAGGAATAACAGGCCTCTTGCCCAAAAGCCCCAACTGCCAGGCATGCGAGTCAAACATCTTTACCATTTATCTTGCAGCCTTAATCAAGTCTTCACAAGATATCATCCCTATCAGGGATCTTTTCTGCAACCTCATAAGAAAGATTCACTCAGAAAGTCATTTTGGAATCCCTGTCCCATAGAAACTGTGGGGTAATAAATGTTTAGTGATGTTTTAAGTTTGGGATACCTCACATAGCAAATACTACATTCACTTCACACAATTCTTAAGACCTTTGAAGATCCCTTCTTTAGGATATTTCAAAAGCAGGGAACATTCTTAGAAATTCTTACTAAAATTCCCTTGCCTACAGTGACTACAATCTAACCTTATTCATTGTCTGGTTTCCAGCTGGCATTAAATGATGAGATTGATACACTAATTAAGCTTTCCATTACCCAGCTAGTCTTTTAGAAGTAAAAAAGAAAAAGCAATGATAGTTCGAGGATACACAAATACAGCTGGCCACAACTCGTTTTTATTATACCATTTTTGATTGTTAAGCAGTGAGTCAGCTGTATATCCAGGAATGCTAGTTAAGACTTGGGAGTAAGGGCTTTAGAACAATAACGCATCAAAGGTTCAGAATGAATTGAACACATTTTTCATTAAACTGAGGAAGAGAATGGGGAAAAAAAAAAAAGCCTACAGATATACTTCGCAACTCCTGGGACGTGGGGGGAGGAGAGGGGCTTAGAAGTGGGAAGGACTAACGTCGTGTTAAGAGTTTCAAAGTGCCAAGCAGGAAATAAACAGACCAATGAGACAGGCATTAGGTAGCAGCTTTATTAAGCAGGAAAAGCAAACTGCAAGTGTTGCGTTCTGCACCTGAGACTACAGGGTTTTCCCTCTCCTTCCCAGCTGCCTATAATGTTCAGACCAGCTCCTGCCAGAGCAGTCAGAAAATTCAAGTTTTCCCTGCCTGCCCCTGTGGGCTTTAATGAGGGAGGCTCAGCTCAAGCAGGCCAGACAGTAAAGGGAAGTACAGGGGCCCGGGAACTCAACCCCATATGCCTAGGGGTAGAGGATCAATCAAGTGCCCTGAAGCTCAACACACTTGGAGCGCAGATTATTAAAAGCTTAACTAACAAACGCAGAACATCTCTTTAACCCCCAGAATTCCCCTACGCAGAAGGCTTACGTGATGATACTGAACATGGTGGGTGAAGCGAGGGGAGTCCCAGAGGTAGGGTCCGCCAGAAACTATGCACAGAGCCGGTTAGACCCCAGACCCGCCCACAAGCTGCCCCGCACCAGGCTCCTGCGGTGCCCAACCTCTTCAGCCCCCACGACAGGGCGTCGGCGGAAGCGAGGCGCCACCCCAGCACAACGCCCAAGAGCCCCAGTCCCTACCTTACTAGCGCCGGCGGCGGTAGCGGATCCCGACACCCAAGCGGAGGGAAAGGGACCACGAACCCGAAGCCCGCTGGGAAATGTAGTTCCACGCTCGTACCTAGGTGACAGCGCCCACGCTGGGAGCGTTTGTTTAGCTTTGCCTTTACTTCCTCTGAGAAACTGGACTGCGGCCGCGCCCCCAAGCGCGGTGCTCGCTGGGGAATGTAGTCTTTCCTTGGTCGGAGCTGGGGTGAGGGGAACATGGCTCGGTGGTGCACGCTGGGTAGTGTAGTCTCGGTTCCGCTCAGAGGCGGACGGCTGGAACCGAAACGCACGGCGAGGACGTAACTCTCTCACCTCATTGGACGCGTCCCGATACGCTTCTGCGCAGCCTGTGGTGGCGTCGTAACGCCCCGGGGAAAGGGAAGCGGACGGGACTGCGAATCGCTGCCTCTGGGTTTTTATTTTTCTGCTGATAAGATTTGGTCACTGGTTCTTTATCTTTTGTCTGTTGCACGCATCCGGCCCTCCCCATTTGCAGCCCCACCCCTTGGATCCAGCCCTCTGGGCACTCAGGCCCGCTCTCTCACCCCGCCGTGAACCCCTCCTCGTCCCCGGGCGGGCCCGGCGCGGAGGCGGTCACTACGGAGAATATGGCGGAGGAGGAGCTGCTGCCCCAGGACAAGGAGGAGGTGACCCTGGTCCAGGTCCCGACCCCGGCCCAGGACACAGCTCGGGTCCCAGCTCCGGCCCCGGATTCGGCTCCGACTCCGGCCTCGGCTCCAGCCCCAGTCCCTGCCCTGGCCCAGGCTCCGGCCCTGTCCCCGTCCCTAGCCTCTGCCCCAGACGAGGCTGAAAGCAGTAAGTGCAGGATGCCCAGATCTTTCTGCCGTAGCAGAAGCGAGAAAGGCGCCTTGCTTGGGACTAGGGGAGGCCCTTCCTCCCTGGGATGGCTTTTATGGAAAAGGCAGGTTTAGGAAAGTGGGGAGTGGAGGTGGGCAGGAGGGACCGTGGAGCGGACAAAACGGCACTAGAATGGAGGGAGGCAGCTCCTCAAACGTCCAGGATGTCACACTGAAGGATGTGTTGGCAGGACTGCGGCAGATGGGAAATAGGAGGTGGAGGGTCTTTTCCCTACGGGGGAGGGGGACTCTTTGTGGTCCAGATACAGGAAGTTACACTTAATTTGGTAGTTTCCCCCTTAGCCCCTTTAAATTGTGGCATAGTAATCGAGGCAACCTGTTTACTGTTGTAAAGCCTAGCTGCCAAGGCTTAGACCGATGCCGCCAAGTAGCTTTTATGCCTCGACATACACAAAGAGATGAATTTTTCTCACTTTATTTTCTTTGGCCACTTGCTTTCAAAAAGAATTTGTGGCCGATGAGTACTCTATGAGTCGACTGAATTATGAATGTCTTCCTTCAGTCATAAATACCAATTGAGTTTCATAATGAGTTAACTGTGGAAAATCAATAGCCTACATAGTATTGTGTGTCTGAGTGTGTTTACATGTTTTCTAAATGGCAGTGTGGTGAACCACAAAGGAATTTAAAAGATTAGTGAGTTAACACTTTTAAGAATCTAATGAACACTTTAAAATATCAGATCGAAGACTGAAGTTTTTTTAAAAAATGTTTTTGTGAACCATAAATGGACTCTTAACGCTGTTTCCGAATTCTAACAAAATATCATAAATTCATTGGCTTCACTATTCCTAGACCAGTTGTGAGTTTAATGTTTATAAAACACTAGGGTAATAGCCTAACAATTATTTTCGCAGTTTTAAAACGACATAAATTGTTAGATTTTAGAGTAGGACTCATCACAGAAAGGATATAGGGAGCATGCCCCCTTCATATACGATCAGAGCTAGTCAATGCAAAATAAGTTCTGTTTCTTTACCTACAGCTACAGGTGGGCAAAAAAGGGTGTGCATGCACCTGATAGATTAGCCTCCACTCACCCCTACATTGTGTTTGTTTTTATTAATCAAAAGTGGTTTAGCAGTTTAGGAAATGCATGCTTTCTTTTTTGTCAAGAATATGTGGACATAACTTGGGAAAATTTGTTCAAATATACAAATGTGTAATTTGAAGAATATTTGCTGTTTGAATAACCTGAAAATATATTACTGCGACAAGTATGTAATGATTGAGAAATCTTAAAATACATCGCAAGTATATATTGCTCACTTTTCAAAATTATTTTTAGATGGTCTAGTTAGTCCTTTCAAATCAGTCATAACTAGTCAAGATGAAGATGGCATATCTGAAGTAGAATTCAAAATTGAGGACGAAGTTGTAAAAGAGTCTCCTAGCATCTTGGATTCCTCAGCTTTAACAAGAGGTGTGACTATTGACTTCCTGATTATTAGTGCTATAAAAAACAGGTGGCATGATATAAGTATCGATTTTCAGATGTCTACTATTTTGAAGCAGAATGTGATTTCAGACATAAACATAACATTGCAAGAACTTTGAGACAGATTTGTGGGCATTTTCTTCAGTAGTAGACTACATGTTTTCCAGTTATTTAAAGGTCCCCTTTCTTTTATTTCATACTTATTAATAGTAAGAATGATTTCAATAAGCATATCTTTATATGGTGTCTGTGCATATTTCACATACACAGGCTTTTGAACTATGAAAACAAAAGCCTCAATGTGATCACAAGTTAAATAGTTGGTTTTTATACATGGATTCATTGCCTGAATCTTACTGTCTGTCCTAGTAATTAAGTATTTGGTCAAAAGAGGGAAAAAATGCCTATTTATAGAAATTTTATTTCATAAATTTCCTTTATTTCCTTTAAGCAATACCTAGAGTACGAATTTGATCAATAACCAACCAGTCAGAAGTTTGTTCTTGGTTTTTCTCATTTAAAAAGTGAAAGTAACGAATTGAAATTATTGATTCAGGTGTGCTACTGCGTCCAGACAGTGATCTTTTAAAATTGTTACTTAACAAAAGTTCGTTCTGAATTATATAATCTAGTGGCATAATGAGTGTTAGTACCTTATGCTTTATCTCCATATTCATCTCATCCAGGATATTTTCCTCAATTGTTGTTTAATCTTGATATTCAGGCTCCCACTTTGTAAATGTTCACCTATCATGTCTGTCCTTTAAAAGAAAAAGCAAGTTACAATCCTCTCCATCTCCATTTTTATACTTCTTGAAAAAAAAAGCCTATGCTGTGTTATTTTACTTCATTTCTCCTTCCAGTCCCATTTGTACCCCCAACTAGTTTACTGAACTTTCTTAAAGGTCACCAGAGACCTGTCAAAACTTAAGTTCGGAATTCTTCATCACTGCAGTTATTTGTGACTTTTAGTGTTGAACACTTCTCTTTTATAATCTTGTCTTCCTTCATTCTGCATTATATTGTTTCTCCCTACCTCTTACTCTTTTTAAATTTCTTCTGATTTTTCATCAATGTCTCTTACAAATACCTATATCCCCCACATCTTGTTTCCAGATTGTATCATTTATATAAATCAGTAGTGGATTCAGCACCTGAATGCAATCCCCCCTTGCCCCTAATCAAGAATATGTTATGTATTTTTCGAAAGATACATTCATAGATTACAACATTCACAAATGTGTAATTTGAAAAATGTGTGATATTTGTGAAACCTAAAACTGTATTGCTAGGACGGGATTCGGGCTTTTTTCTTTTTCACCTTTTTCGATATGCTTTCTTAATCATTCTCAAGTTCCACCTAACGTATATTTGTGATTTATATCTACTTATAATGTCTCCTGAGGTCCTTAAACACAATTCAACTGCTTCTTTGACTTTGTGCATGAATACCACTAAGATATCGAACATGCTATGTCAAAAATTAAATTCCTTTTTATCCTTTTTACCAAATTTGTTCTCTTCCTTCATTAGAAAAGTGTTTTTGCATCCCATGTTCTTCTTTTTTTTTTTTTTGCCTCCTAATACTTTTTCATTGCAAGTTTGTCACATCTATCATTTATGCTGGTTACTACTACCAGACATACCCTTCAGAAACATACAGATCATATCATTCACTTGCTGAAATAGCTGCAAAGGCATACCATTGTCCCAAGAATAAAGTCTAAACTAACTAGCATGGGATTTATGTCTTCTATAATCTGTACAACATTTTTGGCTGCTTATTTTTCTATCCATTCCACCCTCAGTGATTGCAGCCAGAGCTGAGATAGAGGTAACTGTGATTTTTTTAAAATCACAGTTTATAAACTTCAGTTTGTAAAGCCTGCCACCAAATCGCTACTTAACTACTTCTTATTGAAATTCTGTTCCTACTTCAGTCTCAGTTGAATGCCTGGAGATACTTTCAAAGTCACTCACTAGAATTAATTTGTCTGCATTTCCCTATCATAACCTTTAACCTCTAACATTACAGTTACTACTTAACTCTAAGAGTTATTTTTATATTTAACATGTTAATCTTTGACCTGATAGGAAGTTCTTTGAAAACAGGAAACATGGTATTTTCTTCAGAATACTTTTTGTACAATTTGTAGAATTATATTAGATAACAATTTAAAGCTGCAAAGATACATAGTGGGGTTTTTCCCTCAACTTTTTTACATTCTGAAGCACCTTTGTCACATTTTAAACTGAGTTGCAGCATTATTCACATTTAAAGTACTAGGACACTGTTACAGGAAATCAAAATATAAAGTTCTATATGAATTATCCAGTAGAAATGGAACTAGAATACAGATTGGTCTAAAGCATTATCTAACTCTTAAAATTTCCTTTCAGAGAGACACATCTCAATTCAAAGGCAACTTGCTGATCTAGAGAAGTTAGCTTTTGTAACTGAAGGAGATTTTGAGTCTGCCAATTCATTGAATTCAGATAATCTTGATGCAGGTATTTTCACATTTGTGTCTTGTTTTTTTTTAATTTCGAATGCCTTTTCAACTCATGTAAAGTTTGCTTAGAATCGACTTAACTATTCCAATTGAACAGCAGTAAAAAAGTTTTACCAAAGAAATTGGAGCTTCCCATGTGCAAAAGTGCTGTGAGAATAAGTTATTTCAAGGAAATTAAAACTCCTACAATTTCAAGGAAACTCAAGGAATACCATTTATACCCACAAAGCTATGGTTATAGAAAGGCTGTATATTCTGTAAGTTAGGAGTTGGATTGGGATATAAGTAATAGCAATCCCCCCAAAATAAGTGTCTTAAGTAATATAGAGGCTTATACTTTCTCATGTAGAAAAATTCCCAAAGTGGGTAGTTTAGGGCGGTATAAGAGTTCTACAAAGTAGTTAATGCCCATGAGCCTCTCTGCTCTACCATCTTTAGTGCTCGGTTTCCATCCTCATGATCACCTCATTGTTTCTTTTTTTTAACTTGACAGAGTATATTTTAAAAGTACATGTATTTGCACTCTGCTATATGTGAAAGGTATTTGTTGCAGTAAAAGTTAACAGTTGTTTTTTTCTGTAAATTTCTTTAGCCAAAAGTTGAGGTTTTAATTCTTTGGTGTATTATGAAAATTTTTTAAATACATTGCACTTCTAATGAAATAAGACTTCTATTTTGAATATGTAAATAAAGAAGGAAGAATTTACAAATTTAGTAATAGTAAATTTATATTTAATAGTGTTTGTAACCATGCCCCCAATCTCAGAATAGCAGTTATATTGGATTCCATCTACTCCTATACTTCCTTCTTCCATTTTTTTAATTCCATGTTAACTGTTTTTGTTGTGACCAGAGTAGAAGTTTGCCACAGTAAATACCCGTGCTTTCCAAGTATCTCCCACACTTCTGGGAGTATAATATCTGCTGCCCTTTAATAGCACACCCTCTCTGCTGGCCTTTAGACTGAATTTTTGTTTCCAGAGCAACAAAGACTCAGTAGCCCAAAGAGAAAGGAGTTTTAGAGTAAAGAAAGCAATCATTAGCCATGTGCTAAAAAATTTTTGCAAATTACTTCCTGAGGTAGGGATGACTTTTACCTAGAAATACATTATCTAAATGTGTGTGTTTGGGCTTGGGAAGAGACTCTTTTATCAGTAGTTTATTCTTTGTTTTCTTGGTTCTTTTTTCTTTTTCAGGAAACAAACAGTCTTGTCCATTATGCCCTAGGGAAAAATTTAGAGCTTGTAATAGCCATAAGCTTCGTCGTCACCTTCAAAATTTACACTGGAAAGTCTCAGTTGAATTTGAAGGTTAGTATTTTTGTGCTTGCTAAAAAATTGATGTAAATACAATTCAAGAGGTGATACCATTTTTGAAATTTTGTGAACATAATAAAAGATTTTCAATTTAAAATTCTTTATACCTGCCCCCTTCAACTTGTTTAATAAGACCATATAGCTCTCTAGGGAATAGCTATACATGGCATGAGTAATTCAGCAAACACTTACTAAGCATCTTTTCTATACCAGGTACTCTGCTTGACCCTAGAGTTCTATAGTACTGAACAATGTTTTAATAAGTAATATTTTCACTTATATTAGAACAACTACCACTTGACACATATTTTTGAAGATCTAAAAGTTTAGTAAAACAAAGTAAAATAATTACTATAAATAGTAAAATTGAGAAGATTATTTTTTGACTGATAGTTTAAGAAAATGGAGAGTTAATAAGAGTTAAAAACAGTGTTGGGATTTCAAGTAAATATTCAGAAACTTTTTCTACTCTAGATAAATGGAAATTAGAAAACAGCATGCCAATTAGAAACTAAGATAATTTCATTCAAATAAATCATGACATAACAAAAGGAGACATAATCTTACTTATTCTTTCAAAACTTGCTAATAATTTTTATTAATAATTGAACACTTAATGAACAGTGATAAGACAAATCTTCATTCTAGGTTACAGAATGTGCATCTGTCACTTACCTTGTCGACCAGTGAAACCAAACATTATTGGAGAACAGGTAATCAGCTGTTAGATTTGTCATTTTTAAACTTAAAGAGTTGCTATATTGAACTTTTTGTTTGATAGTTTTTGAGTCAGATAAATTGGTTTCTTGTTAGAAAGGAGAATTGGCACAGTGGGCAGTCAGTCTCATAATCTGAAAGGAAAATTAACCTATTTACTAATTTTGTAATGAAGAAGTTAATTAGAAAGTTTTTTTTTCCTTCAAAATAAATTTTATCCATTACTAAGTGCCTTCAGTTTCTGTGGCACTGAGATAGTAATAAATGTATTGTATTAGATATCAGTCTGTACCAGTCCATATTCCTCTTAATTTGTCAAGGGACAGAATCAAAAAACTGTCAGACATTTTAATAACTTTAAAAAAATACATATTATTATTTTTTAGGATTTGATCTTTGGGGTACAGAAATTATGGAATATTTTTAGTGACACTCTTCTGAATACACCATTAGTTTAAAAAGTCCTAATTGTTATTTTGGGTGGAAAAAATCCCAAAATTTCTTAAACAGTAGTCCAGGACAATGCTTGATCAGTCAGCCCTATATTTTGAATATAATTACCCCAGTGCCATAACTGACATTTTTGACTCTTCCCTACTACTATGTGATTCAAGTTAAAAGACAGAGGCACTCAATAAAAAGGCATTAAAACTAAGAAAGAGCCAATTGAATTGTCTTTCTGTTTTCGGCAAAAAGAAATTTTAAAGGGAGAATTTGTTGCTTAGAAAAATCAACTTTATTATGTTGCTAACATTCAGTGATATATGTGAGTATGGTCAAATTTCCAGGAATCCTGAGAATTGGTTGGTAAACATGTCATCATTAAAAATTTCCATGTTATATTAAAATCAAAGGTACTCAGTAGTTGTTAATTTACTGCGTTTTACAATTACCTGTGTTTCTTTACAGTTATGTATAGTAATGTATGGTGGCAGTATTCACTGGTATAATATCACACATCTCATTTCTGACTCGTGTTCAGTGATCTCTTGGTAGCTTGACACCCGTTACAATTATGACTTGAAATTGGCCATGAAATAAATGTACTTGGACCACAGAAAGCTGCGAGCACTACAAATCAGGGTTTTGTTTTCCAAGAGAGCTAGTAGTTAAAACACTTAACAGCCACCTCTGCTAGTGTTATGCCATTTGTAAAAGCCACTTATAAAAATAGGGTACAGTTATTTTCTGATTAGAGTAAATAGTAAAAACTAGGAAATTAAACTTTGAGGCCTCTGGTTAAGTACAATTGAAAAGCATATATAAATGTGGGGTAAGGAAATAAAGAGCCTTTCAAAGTCACATGACAGAATTAATTCTAGCTTCTATACTGTTAAACCCAGGACACCCTAACATACTTAAATTTGCAACCCTAAATAAACTCATTGTCTTAGTAACTTATTTATGTATTTAAATTAAATACTCTGTTTAATAGATTTCCAGTAAAATGGGCGCCCATTATCATTGTATCATTTGTTCAGCAACAATCACCAGAAGGACCGATATGCTAGGACATATTAGGCGCCATGTGAATAAAGGAGAGACTAAATCCAAGTTTATTGCTGGTAAGTTGAGAAATCTCATTAACATGTTAATAATAAATCCTTAAACAGTGGTCCAATTATTCTTTACAGTCATAAGCAGGTAAAATCTAGTAACTTGACTAAATCATTTACTTAATTACTAATCTTTTACATCAAGTTTTGATTTCTTTCTTTGAGGCCCCCTCCATCAACATCTACCTGTCCTCAATTTAACAGATGTATTTAATAAGTGGATAGAAGAAAGCAATGGATGGTCAAATAAATATAAGCATCTTAATGAAAGATTACTAATAATTATGATAATGAATCAATAACTGTTGAAAAACACTGGGAAAGGAAGTTATTTATTATGCTGAGTGATACCAACTTATTAATAGCTTATTACTGAGAGAATCCTTTTTAGAAATTCAACATTAAGCCCTCCTACTCAAAGGCACCCATTGTAGGTAATTAAGTGACTTTTATACTTAAAAAATGGGACTATGTGCCTTTAAAAAAAAAAAGGAAAAAAAATCACTGAAATAAGTTTCTCTAAAGCCTAACTTTGCCACAGAACCTGGTTTCAAGAAGGCTGATCTTGTGAGACATGTCACTTTGGTAGATATAGAAGGAACACTCAGATTACTATTATGTGTCATTGTAGAAGAGAAATTATTGTATTTAGTTAATATTCTGCTTACAATATTACCAGGAAATTCAAACAAAGAATCTAAGTTATTTTTTTCTACACATATAAATGTCTCTCAGATATTTAAAATATATATACATAAAAATATATACATTAGTGTTTTAGCTAAATTTATAATAGCTAAAAATATAAATTTATAGCTGTTTCTAATGTGTAGTGAATGTAGAGCAATATTTTCCCATTACTTGATAGCCATTTGAATATAGTCTATGACTTAAAATCATAATTATGAGAAAGTGTTCTGAAGTATACGTGTTCAAGATATCTACTGGTTTTTTTTTTTGCCAGCCATAAGAGTTATGGTATGTTTGTAACCACTCAGAGGAAGCAATTTTCTAATGATTTATATCAATAAAATCCATATAGCTGCTAACCACTATAAATAAATCTTGTATTTGATGGGAAATAGTTATTTTGAGATTTTGTATTATTTTAGGTTGATTCCACATATTATGATACAGATGATTTGATTTGCTAGACAGTTAAGATTTTAAGTTAAAAAAATTAATTCACCAAATATGTAACTAAGTGCTACTTTTCCTTTTTCCAAAGACAGTGCTGAATATATCAGTGTTTGGGTTTTTTATTAATACCCACCCAATTAATTACATTAACACAAAGTATTATAAAAGAAAATTATCTTTTAGAATGTGTTTATGTATGTTGTTTTACATGTTTAGAATTATTTTATATTTCACTGGAAATCTTTCTTTTTTTTAAATCTTAGCATCTGCTGCTAAACCACCTAATGAAATTTTGAAAGAAGCAGACACAGATGTACAAGTTTGTCCTAACTATTCTATACCTCAGAAAACAGATTCCTACTTTAATCCCAAAATGAAACTAAATCGGTAAGATACACTGAAAAAAGAGGCTATAGGATGTTTCAGATCATTATAAATGACCTTCTCTTGATCTTTACATTGCAGTATCTTGAAATATAAAAATTAGGTACAAAAAGAATATAATCCATTTTAGCATTTTTCAGAAAGATTGTTTTCTTGTCTACCAAAAATTTCTCAGTTTCTCAGGGTAAAACATAGGCCTGACCTTGAATAATTAGCTAACCAACTGTTGCTTTTGTTGGTAAGTTTTACTTTTGAAATCATTATTTATAGTGAAAGCTTCTTAGTAGAATCCATTTGGAGTCATAGTTTCACAGAATTTTAGTTCTTATACTGCAAAGTAGGGAATGTTATTAGATCTCTGAATCTAATAACAGGGGGAAACCTGGTCTTTTTTCCTGTATGTAGAGGAAAACCTTATTTTTCTCTAAATGTGGGTTTCTTCCCTGAATTATCTTCCCACAGTACCCTTTACTCAGACACTTTCTGGTCACAGATGTATAGAAATTTTCTTTCCCACACCAGGCATTCTCTTTGACACCATCTAGGTTTCCTACCTGAGGATAGGGTCAGATCTCACAGGTAAATGACTCAGTCCTTTAGACTTTCACACTCCAAGCCTCCTTAGACATTTCAGGTACCAGTTTCAACCCCAGGCTATCTCTTGTGATTCTGATCTACTGATTATAGATCAGAGGTTCCAAGGACCCTTCTTGGGTTCAGAAATTTGTTAGAGCAACTTACAGAACTCAGGAAAACACTTGTATTTACCAGTGATTAAAGGATATGATAAAGGATACAGATGAACAGATGAAGAGATACAGGGCTGGGAGATTACCAGATATAGAAATTTACATCCCTGTGGAATTTGAGTGTATTATCCCACAGTGTGGATATATTATTTGTACTATAAATAGGAACCCCAATTCTTAACCATTTTTAATTTTCTTAAATAAAATAAAATGTACAATAATGAAGCGGTGGTATAATTATTTCAGATTATTATACTTTCTTCTAGGCAGTTAATATTTTGTACGTTGGCTGCTTTGACTGAGGAACGAAAACCTTTGGAGTGTCTGGATGCCTTTGGAGCAACTGGTAAGTAATGAAGCTTTTTTGGAACCCCATTTTATCAGATACACACAGTCTTTTCTTAGAAAGTATGATATATCCTGCAGAGTATTTTATATAATAATTAAAGATCTAATATAAATTTTTATTGTGAAAATATTTCAAATATATGTAAAAATACAGTATAATATATAAATATCTGTGTATATGTAAAAATATAGTATAATATATGAATATCTGTGTATCCATTAGTCACTTCAGAAACAGTCACACTCAGTCATTCTGTATCTGTATCTCCATGCACCTTTCCTCATACTTCACTCCCCCAGTCTTTATGTCATTATTTTTAAATCATTTTATCTATAAGTATTTCAGTTGAATCCCTACATGATGAGGTCTTTTATTATTGTTGTTGTTGTTATTCCTATTATTATTATAGTTTATTTTTACATCATTTTGTGCCTTTTTCCGTCTCAGTTGTAATCCCCATAGGCTTCCCATCACCAAATCACCTGTGTATCACCACCATAGTACAGTGTACTTCCCCTTCTACCCCATTTTTTGATCACATTCCCCACTCCACCCCTCTAATATGTCTCTGGTATGTAGTTGTTCATTATTATGATTATTTTCTTCCCTGGTCCTTTATACTCCTGCTATGAGTGAAACCATCCAGTATTTTTCTTTTTCTTTCTGGTTTATTTCACTAAGCATGATCCCTTCCAGTTCCATCCATGTTGCTGTAAAAGGCATGTGTTTATCTTTTTTGATTGTTTAGTAATATTCCATTGTATATATATACCACATAAAACATGAGGTCTTTTAAAAAAGTTCCATTATCATACCTAAAAATAATTAACTCTTTAATATTGTCATATGTTTAGGTAGGCCCAATTATCTCATAATTTTATTAATTCAAATGAAAATCCAGACAAAGACTATATTTCAGTTTCAGTTGCTTGATATGTTTCAGAAGTCTCCTTTAATCTGTATTCCTCCCTTTAATATTGTCATATGTTTAGGTAGGCCCAATTATCTCATAATTTTATTAATTCAAATGAAAATCCAGACAAAGACTATATTTCAGTTTCAGTTGCTTGATATGTTTCAGAAGTCTCCTTTAATCTATATTCCTCCCCTTCCATATTTTGTGTGGTTATCTGGTAATTATTTGTTGACATAACAGATTATTTGTTTTAAGACTGAGAATATTTTTCCCAAAATATTCTAACACCAGAGAAAAGATAATGGAAAAACAGGAAATTTCTAAAAAGCCACTTATAATCAATCCTAAATCTTTCTTCTTAAAGGTCACAGGTGAGTATTCTTGGGAAGTTTGTACTAACATAATGATCGTATATGTTAGCTTTCCTTAAGTTCTTCTCAGCAACTGCCTAGATTCAAATTTTAGCTTCATCACATTCCAGCTGTGTAATCAGGGGAAGTTGTGCTTCAGTTTCCTCATGTGTCAAAAGGGACTACTAGTACCTACCTTCTTATCTGAACCATTCACATTTGACTTTTTTTTACTTCTTTTCCCTCCACTGTCTCCACATTCACGCAGCCACCAGAAACCCTGTTTCTATTTTCTTTTGTGATGTGACTGATACTCTTTTTCATTTCATATCCACTACTGCAATGATTTTTTGGTCAATTTCTCTCCAATCTGTAATAAGTGCTGTTGTCAGACACCGATACCTGAAACACTGCATCAATAATATTTCACATTTGAAAGAAATCATATACCTTCGTTGCTTAAATAGAATCCAGATTTCCCAGTCCACAATTTACTGTCCTCCATATTCTGATCCTGACATACTTTTCCAAATTTCTTTATTTTTAAAAAAGATTTATTTATTTATGTATGCAGAACTGGGATATAGGCCAGTACTTTATAGTGCAGGGGCAGTGAGAGGATTCACCAGAGACAGAATAGGGAGCAGAACAGGCCAACTGACAAAGCACACTGCTTGAGGGGAGCAGTGGGTGGGTCAGGAAAGGTCTGCCGGGCCATGTGGTCACTTTCCGGGCACTGATGAAACTCATGCTGACATGGCTTTAGCTTCTTAGTGCTGTGCTTTAACCTGGTGCACCACCAGGGAAGGCCCAAATTTCTTTATTTTTTAACTGTACCCAGTTTTTTTTTGCACAGACTTACTGAGTTGTAGGCCAGCGGTATGAGTGGTGAGAGCATCCACCAGGGACAGAGCAGGGAACAGAACAGGCAGAACTACTGAAACACACGCTGAGAGGAGCAGGGGGCCAAATAGAAGAAACCTGCTGTACCATGTTGGTTAGCTTCCTGACTGGGGATCACAGTTGTGGTGTTAGTGTTGAGACATAACCTGTAGGCCACCAGGGAGGCCCACTTTTCCAAATTTATTTTCCAATTTATACAATCCTTCTTTCCTATTCTATTTTTCTTTTCTTTTCTTTTTATTATTATTTTTTAAAGATTTATTTATTTGTGCATACAGAACTGGGGTACAGGCCAGAGGCTAGGGGCGGTGAGAGGCTTCACCAGAGACAGAGTGGGGAGCAGAACAGGCAGATCGACGAAGTACACTGCTGAGGGGAGCAGCAGGCGGGTCAGGAGAGGTCTGCCACACCTTGTGGTCACCTCTGGGGCAGGCGGGAATCAAACTCATGCGGAAGCGGCTTTAGATTCTCAGTGCTGTGCTTTAACCCGCTGCGCCACCAGGGAGGGCCAATTTTTATTATTATTTTACAATAATACTTATTAAATGTCTACCCTAAACTGAATGCTATATATTTCTTAATAGCATAGTCATTTTTCCCTCTCTAGTTTTATTAAAATATAATTGACATATAACATTATGTAAGTTCAAGGTGTATAACATAATGATTTAATATATGTATTATAAAGTGATTACCACGAAAATTTTAGATAATATCCATGACCTCACGTAAATTTTTGTTTCCTTTTTATAAGAGCTTTTCATATCTTTGATGAGCTTAAGCAACTTGCAAATAGAGAGGAAATTATTGTTAACTGTACACTACATCCAATAACATAGTTATTTTATAGCTGCACATTTGTACCTTCACTCAATTCCTTTATCTTACACTCTCCCATTTCTGGCTACCACAAATCTGTTCTCTGTTTCTAAAAGTTTGTATTTTTTCACATATAAATGAAATCATTTGGTATTTGTCTTCTCTTTCTGACTTATTTCACTCAGCATATGTTGTTTCAAATGGTAGGATTTTCTTCTTTATGGCTTACTAATGTTGTGTTGTCATTAAATGCTTAGACTGTTTCCATGTCTTGATTATTATAAATAATATTGCCATGAACTATTCATTTTTTTCATCTGAAATCATTAAAACTAATGTTAAGATCTTTCAGCCTTTTCTTTCTACTGTGTCTTTGTAAATCTGCATTAGATTCACAGCACTTATATTACATGGTTCCCCATCTCTAAAATATAGATACTAAAACTTCACAAATATGCTATGCGAATATGGAAGTGTATGTAAATTCCTGGTACATAACAGATGTTCATTTTATTTTACCTTTACACTTAAGACACATGTATAAAGAAAGTGGTCAGTGCTTCTAGTATATGAAGAGTTTTCTAATCTATATTAGCTAGACTTGTATCATCATCTCTCATTTTGTAATAAATTTGCTTATGCTTCTAATCTAACTATAAAAACCTTGAGAAAAGATTTTCTGAATTTTTGACCATCTGCTTATAAATGCAAAATTGCCTTTTTTATCTTCACAATGATGCTGTCATGTAGTATTTGAAAAGAGTTGGTTGAAGACAGTGGTTTTCATATTTTGGTGCATTAAGGTAAATTTCAGCAGAAAGAGTTCCAGCTACCCTGCTTCCAATCAATCAGAAAAGCCTCACTCTTTATTATATTGTATTTTGAGCTTCTGTGTGAGATTTTTTTTGTTTAAAAAAAGCCTCATGTAAGAAAAAAATATTGTTTCACAAATAAAGGAGATACATGAAGGTTTATTTGAAGAGGGGCTACAAAAAAAGTTTTGTAAAAAATAATTATGAAAATTGATTAGACACATTTGTTTGGTAACTTTTCTTCCTAGACTTGCAGTGAGAGCGCAAATAAGAATTGTTTATACAAACATTAGGATTTAAAATAGTTTGTTGGTTATATATAAAGAATATTCTTTATTATTAAGCTCTAATAATTACAATTTAAAAACTCATTTCCCTCCCCTTTTCTCTAAGGAATAATGGGATTACAATGGGCAAAACATCTTGGAAATGCAGTGAAGGTTACAATTAATGACTTGAACGAAAACTCTGTGACATTGATTCAGGAAAATTGCCATTTAAACAAATTAAAAGTGGTGGTAGACAATAAAGAAAAGGGAGAAAATGATGATGTTCTTGAAGAAGGAGAGGAAAACTTTGGTAATATTAAGGTGACCAAAATGGATGCCAATGTACTGATGCATTTGAGATCTTTTGATTTTATGTAAGTGCAAAAAAAGTGCTATGTTGCTTTCTAAACTGATCTGATTGGGGGGGGGGTGAAGGCATTTGGGGGTGTGTGGGTAGAAGGTTAAAAGTGAAAAATTTGTTGTTGATTTATAGTAATACAATTAGTATTCTTTGGCATTAGCCTAAAAAAAGCAATAAGAATTTTTTGCTAGCAATTATAATAACATTCCTGGTTTTGACAGTTTTTCCTCTAAACCTAATTAATATATTTTTTTAAAGATTTATTTATTTGTTCATACAGAACTGGGGTACAGGCCAGAGGTGCAGGGGCAGTGAGAGGCTTCACCAGAGACAAGAGTGGGGAGCAGAACAGGCAGATCAATGAAATACACTGCTGAGGGGAGCAGCGGGCGGGTCAGGAGAGGTCTGCCTCGCCATGTGGTCACCTCCAGGGCAGGCTGGGATCGAACTCATGCTGAAGTGGCTTAAGCTTCTTAGTGCTGTGCTTTAACCCGCTGCGCCACCAGGGAGGGCCAAAACTTAATTAATATTTACATGTCTGAGATTATATGGCATTTTATCACTTACTTTGAAAACCAAATTATGTGTTTAAAGTCGATTTGGAAAGTGCTTTGAATCCATGGAAGTTTATCTTTAGAAGTAACTTATAGTAGTATAAAATCAACTAACTTGATTTTAATGTGTATATTCTTCCTGATTTTAGACACCTAGACCCTTTTGGAACATCAGTCAACTACCTAGATTCTGCATTCAGAAATATAAGAAACCTTGGCATAGTGTCAGTGACTTCTACAGATATCAGTTCTCTATATGCCAAGGCACAACATGTTGCCCGGCGCCACTACGGCTGTAATATTGTCCGAACTGAATATTACAAGGAGCTTGCAGCCAGAATTGTTGTAGCTGCAGTGGCAAGGTACCAGATTGCCTACCATTTATCTATATGTTTGACATGTGATTTAAAAAGAAGACATAACAAGTGTTTATTTTACTTTTGAAAATGAGTGAAATACAATTCTGTATTGCATTTCTATAATTTTGTTTGACTATCTTAATGTTGTATGTGTTATACTTTGATTCAAAAACTTAAACTTGAAATAGCTTCAATTTAAAATGTTATTGAAATAGTATAGTAAGAAAAAAGTATAAATAATTTACCATGAAAAGGAATCAAAATTTGTTTTTAGATTTAGAAATAGTTATTTGCTTTATGTCTACTGTATCTTCTTTGTTTACAGTTTGAATAAAATGATAGCTTATAAACTTGATTTTATGAAATGATCTTACCTATAAACAAAACGTTCTCTTACCAGGATTTCTAAACAGTTTAAGAAAGACAAACTCATTGAGTATCATTTTATGTAGAATGCTGCATTAGAGAATAAGTGGACATTCAGAATACATGTATGTAATTGATAATCAGACAGTCTGTTCACAAAACCCAGCACTAAGTCTCATGTCATTTAGATTCAAATTCCTACCTCATACTCCTACCATAAATACAGATTATTAGACTTTATAGGCCCCTGGGGTATTCCTAATTAAATGAAAACTCTGGTGTTCAGTTTGTATATGCCAAAGTACCTACTATTCACGTGGAAGAATCATAATGTAATATCAACAATTTCAAATTCATACGTATTTACATGTATGTATAACCACAGAGGGAAATGAATACTGTATTGAGTATAATTGAATCCTGAAGGCTGTAAAATGAATAATGGCAAAGACTTTATATAGTCGTCTTTCACTGAATATTCAGCAACTAGCATATTAACCTGTATGCAGTAAATGCTCAGCAAATACATATTATCAAGAAGAATCTTTTCTCTCTTTTTTTCCTTTTTTTTTTAAAGACTTATTTATGAATATAAGGACTGGAGCACAGACCAGAGGTATAGGGAATGAGAGGGTTCACCAGAGACAGAGCAGGGAGCAGAACAGGCAGATCTACTGAAATACACTGCTGAGGGCAAGCAGCAGGTGGGTCAGGAGAGGTCTCCTGTGCCATGTGAGTCACCTCCCTGGCCAGGGATCGAACCTGTGCTGCAGTGGCTGTAGATAGCCTCATAGTGCTGTGCTTTAACCCTCCAGGGAAGTTCCCAAGAACCTTTTATTTCAAAAAAAAAGATAAGAAAGGTGGTGGTGATAACAAGGAATAAAGTCATACTGAAAACTAAAGAATGTAGTGCTCTTAAGAAGCTGTCATCACAAAGAAAAAGGTCTAGTGAATGGCAACCCAGCCAAACTTTATTTCATCTATTTCAGTTTGTATAGAAGTTAGAGTAATGATCTTTCAAAAGCAATGTTGTAAGAGTTAAATTTCTCTGTCATCCATCCATACTTGACTGTGTAGGTTAGTGTTATCAATGTAATATCAATGTAATAAAGAGAAATTAAAAGCCCCATGAAATAACTTCAAAAATTTTGTTTTCAGAGCTGCAGCCCGATGTAACAAAGGCATTGAAGTACTGTTTGCAGTGGCTCTGGAACATTTTGTGTTGATAGTTGTAAGAGTTTTGAGGGGCCCCACTTCTGCAGATGAAACAGCCAAGAAGATTCAATACCTGATCCACTGTCAGTGGTGTGAAGAGAGAATTTTTCAGAAGGATGGTAATATGGTAGAAGGTAAATGCAAATTTCTTTTTTGACTGTACATTATGTTTAATTTATATATAAGCCTCCAATGAATAAATCTTTATCACATCCCTAATTATACATATTGTCCTTTGATTTTAAAGATTACAGTGCTAACTTTATTTCCCATACTGGATTTCCTTTCATCAACAGACAAGACATTCCTGTGAGTTTGAGTTTATTAAAGTTATCTACTCATACTATACAATTTGTGCTTTCTAGCCCTGCCCTCTATCAAAACATCTAGAAATAACTTAGTTTCCACTCTCACTAATTTTAGGAACAGAAGTCAGATTGCCTCTTTGTCTAGGCTGTTTGAAATCATTAATTTTATAAAAAATAATGTTCATATTTCTGGCTGATTATAAAAATCATCAATTAAGAAATTCATTCAGTAAACATTTATTGAGCCTCTACTATATGCCAGGCCTGGGATCAGGGAAAACAATGTGACTTGTGCTGCCTATTCACAGACCTTTACATACTGTTTTAATTACAAGAGACTTTTGTGTTCTTTAATATCTGCTTAAAGCAGGCCCTCCTTAATGCTCTAATTTCAGAATGTTCCTGTTACTGGATTTTTTTTTCCTTAATTAAAAAAAGCAGATTAATAGATATGGTTTTGAAGCCTAGTACAGTTTTCATTTGTCCCATTACTTCACCACAGTGCTAATTGATGTAGAAAAGGAAAGCATCCATTACATTACTTTAGTTCTCTTGTACTTTGACTTGGTATAAATCTGAGATACTGTCATTTATCATTTTAATATATCCTTCATTTCCATTTTTATTGTATTTTATCAATATGTTGGATTTTGTCATGCTTTTTCATGTAAGGATGATTATATGGTTTTTCTCCTGAAATCTAAAATTTTTCACTATTGAACCTTTCTAAATTTTTAGAAAAAATTAATCAAAAATATTTTCTTAATGTGAATTCTACTTGCTAAGTTTTAAAGGACTTGTTTCACGGTTCATAAGTCAAATGGTACATAATTTCCTTTTTAGCATAATTTTGGTTGGGCTTTGGAATAAGTTTAAAATCCCTTAAAAAGAATTTGGAACTTTCCCTTTTTTTTTTTTTTTGTGACTGTGGTCAGCTAACATCAGCTTTACTTGTTCATTAAAAATTTTACAGTATCACTAGCCTTTCTAGTTTATAGAGTTGAACAAACGGTGTGTAATTTTTTAGCTTTCTTGGTGTCTAATATTTTTAGCATTTCTCCTTTCTCCTTTTTACTTGACTAAGCTAGGTAGTGGTTTATTCTGTTGTTAACCTTTGTTAATATCTTGATGTTTACTTTAGTAGTAGTAAATATGTATATACATTTTTAATTTAGATTTACCAGTTTTAAGCAGTGTACTTTGGCTTCTTTGGCTTCATCTTAAATGTGGTCATCTTCCCATTTTCACTTCATAATTTTTCTTCATCATACTATCTATTACTAGAATAAGTAATATTCCTATTTGATGTTGCCTGTGCACATATATTCAGTGCTTATCATTGGTCTTTTTGCCATAATTTCTCATCATTTCTTAGTTGACTAATTTTCTGAGTTTAATCAAGAGGCTTCATGGAAAAGATACACCTTCATAGATGTTTAGAGCTTAATGTTCATATCATTTAAACTTAAAGAGTCTGAAGAGTTTCTTTGAGTACCCTGTGGAAATTCTGCTGTTGTCTTCTGTTACTGAATACTATTGTAACTTTTCTGTCTTTTATGTGATATGATCATTTTGCCTGGCTGCTCAAAGGATTTACATTTGAAATAGTTAACTTTACTAGAGTGTGTCCTTTTATGATCGGTTTTTCTAAACCGTAGTATACCTTTTTTATCACGCATTTTCAAATTTTTCATTTCAAGAAAGTTTTCTTCTTGTTTCAATTCTTATATTTTTCTTAGCTTTGGAAAATTATGACCATAGTAGAGCTCATCCTTTCTTTATCATTTTATTTCTAAAAATATTAATAAATATTTGTAATTGTTACATCTTCATTATTGACCTTTTCATTATTATGAAATAACCATTTTTGTTGTAATATTTCTTGTGTGAAAGCATTGTTATAATAAATACACCTGTAGTTGCTATTCACATAATATATTTTTCTTATAATTTTATTCTTAGTCTCTTAAGCATATTATTACATCTTTCTTTTTTATACAGTCTGATCATTTCTGCTTTTAATTAGTGTTTAGACCATTTATATTTAAATGCAGTTATTAAAATGATTGGCTTTGTATCATCTTTCTCACTATTTGTCTTATTGGTCTTACTGGTGTTTTGCATCTTTGTTCCTTTTTTCTCCATTGTTAATCTCGGTGGCCTTAAATATGTCTAGGGTGTCATTTTAATTAATTCCAATGTTGGTTTTTTAGTTATATATTTTTCAGTTATATTCTTAATGACTGCTCTAGAAATAACAGATTATACTTTTATGTATCTACCTCCAATTAATAGACTTAAGATTGACAGAAACTAACAATTTTGTTTTTTCAAGTATCATTGTCATATCCAACAATACAGCATTACATTTTTGTAAGCTTATGATTTTCAAAAAAATTAAGGCAAGAAGAGAAAAGGCATGTCTTTGAATTCAAATTACAATGTCATTTCAACTTTCCCAGTTTTTGCTTATCTGGGTATATCTTTATTTCACCTTTTTTGAAGGATAAAATCATCCATCATTTAACTACAGATATGCATTCTGAGAAGTTTGTCATTAGGTGATTTTATCCTTGTGCAAACACTGTAGGATGTACTCATACAAACCTAAATGGTATAACCTCTTACACACCTCAGCTATACCTAGTGACCATGGTCATATATACTGTCCTGTCATGACATAAACATCATTATGTGGTACATAACTAGTTTTGAAAGTTGTAGAATTGACTGTAGTTTTTTTTTTTTCTATTTAGTACTTGCACTGTGTCATCCCAGAACCTTCTGGACTCATTTCTGTGAGAAATCATTGATTGTAATGTTGTTCTTTTGTACTTGATAAATTATTTTTTATTGCTTTGAAGTTGCATGCACTTGTCTGTGTGTGTTTGTGTGTGTGAGAGAGACTCAGCAGTTTAATTATGCTGTATCTAGGTGGATATCTTTGATTTATCCTATAGTAATTAAACTTCCTGGGTATGTAGATAAGTGTTAACCAAGTAAGTTTGAGGCATTGTCTTTATACTCCAGACTAAACCTATCTTCTTCAAGACAACCTGGAGGCAGATATGCTCTATAATCTACCAAATGAAGGGTAACATAGCCAACTGTTTCTGGTGGTATTTTCCAACCATCTTTTAACATTACCCTAGGGCTGCTATTTATATTCATCTTTGTCTTTTATAATCAAGTCTTTTATAATCAATAACCCCTATGACTATTTCTGTTTCTAATAGCTATTCACTGTCCATGTGATTTTCTTCCAATATTATGGTCTTTCAGGTTTTAGGTTTTCACATATTACTGCATTATTTGAGTTGTATAATGACTCTTCCACACCATTTAGGATTTCTTTCTTGTTTTTAGAGTAACAAAGTCGGAAGAATATAAAAAAAACTTTGGCTTTTTAAAAAATAAAGTTTCCTAAATCTCTTTGATGAAACTTTGGAAAGTTTTGGACCTCCTGGGTACATAAGAAAATAGTTTAGTGGCCTGTAGTTTTTGATTTGTTTTGTTTTCCCTAATTTAGTTTCTCTTTTTGAAAGAAGTAATAGACGTCTTCAGTATTTAAATGATGTTCATCATACAGATTTCATCGCAATTAAAATAAAAATCTCAGGAGAACTCAGCTTTTACCCTCTGTTACTATGATGCTCTTTAAATCATAAATCAGTTCTTTCTTATATTGAATGTTTAACCCTTTCATTTCTTAGTATGTTGTGCTTTACAATATCAGCAAGCAACTAAACTCTCAAATACACTGCTCAGATTTCATCTTGAGTCCATAAAAATGCAGTATCTTTCCTTCTCAGTCAATTCTTCATTTTCTTTATAATTTTGGAGTCTGTTACTACAGTAATTTTATTTTTTTAATCAAACATTTTAAATTATTTTAAAAATTATTAATGATTTACCATTTATGAAGAAATACAGTGTGTTTTTTTTCTCTCAGGTATGGTGATCATAGTTTTCCCACCACCAAAACACCTAGCCCATTGTGTTTTTTTTACCCTGTTTTCTTCCCTCTTCCTCTCCCCAGGATACTTCAGAACGGTGATCAGTTCGCAACTTTGGTTTTAAAGTTTTTTTCTCTGATCCTTTGTTTAAGTTTCTCTGAGTTCCACCTATAAGTAAATACCATCTAGTACTTATCTTTCACCATCTGGCTTATTTCACCTAGGATAATCCTTTCCAGTTCTAGCCATGCTGCCATATACAGTACAAGTTTATCTTGTTTGATCATTGAGTAGTATTCCATTGTGTACCTACATATATATATATATATGTATACACATAGATTTTGGGGTACTCTCTTGCTACTCCAGCCTGATCCCATCTTTAGGGTCTATCTATATCTACGTACACACACCACCACTTATGGCTAAATTCACCTGAATTTATTTATGTCTTTTGTTTGCATTCATAAAGAACTTACAGGGTATAAATGAGAAGACTTTCAAAGAAGTCAGCTCATTCAGAATTTTTTAATTTTGTCAATTTGTAATATGTAGTTTAGAAAACCAAATCATTCCATAAATCTTATTAATAAAATAATGCTCCAACCCGTAAAGTAACCATCTAAAATTTTACTGCTCTCTTTGTTGCTTATCTCCCAGTTTCTAAATAGTATGCTTATTATACTGCATGCTTTTAACTACCTTTCATAAAAGAAGAGTTTTTAGTCTCTTAACATTACATACACATTCCTCCACTCTCCATTGTTGGCTTAATCATAATTCAGTATTTATGTTATAGGTATAAACATTATAAAATAATTTTAAATTTTTATATCTTTCACTTAAAAATTAAAATTTTTTATTTAGCAGTTATTAGTAACAACTGTTTATTGCTTTGTAACAAATTACTCTAGGAAGCAGTGTTTTAAATAGCATATATTAACTCATACTTTCTATAAGTAAAAATCTGAGCATGCCTAGCTAATTCAGTTAGCTCAATTCTCTCCCAAGGGCACAATCAAGATACTTATCAAGGCTTTAATAACCTCAAGCCTTTTTAAAAAGGCTCTACTTATTTCCTAATTCACATAGTTGTTCCTAGCTGTTAGACTGAAGACATCAGTATTTTGCTGACTGCTGGTACCCTCAGTTCCCTGCCAAATAGTTGACAACATGACAGCTTTGCTTCATCAGAAAAAAAAGAGCACAAGTAAGATAGAATCATGTTCTTTTGTTACCCAGCTTTAAAAATAATACCTATCACTTTTGCCATATTCTAGTCATTAGAAGTGACACATACACTCAGGAGGAGATTATGCAGGGATACAGGAGCCATGCATCACTGTGCCTAGCTTAGTAGGCTGCTACAATACAAATAAACCTTATGGTATATTGATATTATAGTAATGTTCTTTTATAACTTTAATAATTCTGGAATTAATGATTAAATGTATTATGTATATTATGTACTTTTCATAATCTATCTCTAAACGTTTTGCTGTAGTTTCAGTGCTCCTTTCCATATGGAAACACATTGGATGATCTTTGGGATCCGGTTTCATCTTCTGCAGACAGTCTTCCTATTCTGTCTGGTCTGGGATGTTTGTTTTCTAAGTCTGCTGAAAGCTGTTCAAGGCTTTCTTATAACCATCATCCTGGAAATTTCCTTGGGATTTCTCTTTGTGGTATTTCCTGTCTTGGATCTTTGTAGTTTTCTGCTTTTTTTGCTTACCTTCTCATTTTGAATGAACATTTGTTCTTTCAACTTTCTGAGAAGAGTTACACAGTTCCATGTAGAACATAGGTTGGAGATCATTGCTGTACCATTGTTTGTTTGTTTTTTAAATAATATAATTGTTTATTTTTACATCATTTTGTGCATTTTTCCATCTCAGTTATAATATTCATGGGCTTCCATCACCAAGTCACCCATGTGCCATCACCATAGTCCAGGGTACTACACCCCCCCCCAATATTTTATCTCATTCCCTATTCCACATCCCCTCCCCCCCTTCCCCAGTCCTTTATGTTCCTGCTATGAGTGAAAACCATCTGTATTTTTTTTCTGGCTTATTTCACTGAACATGATCCCTTCCAGCTCCATCCATGTTGCTGCAAAAGGCATGAGTTTATCTTTTTGATTGCTTAGTAATATTCCATTATATATATGTACCAGATCTTTTTAATCTAGTCATCTACTTTTGGGCATTTGGATTGATTCCATATCTTTCCTATTATAAATAAAACAGCAATATGCATGGGGGTACAGGTGTCTTTTTGAATCAGTGTTTTTGTGTCTTTGGGTAGATACCTAGGAGTGGGATTTTTGGGTCATATGGAAACTCCACTTTTTGCAGTTTGAGAAAACTCCAAATAGTTTTCCATAGTGATTGTACTAGTTTGCATTCCCACCAGCAGTGCAGGAGAGTTCCTTTTTCTCCACACCCTCCCCAAATTTGGTGTTGCTAGTTGTTTTAAGATGTGCTATTCTCACTGGGTTACACCACTGTTTTTAGCTTCCAATATTAAAATTTTTGCTGCAGTTTTTATATTTAGACTGTTGTAAGTTTGTTCTTTCTGAATGTGCTTACAATATCTCTACCCAGTATTCTAAAATATTTAGAATATAATTTAAAATAGCTACATTATGGTGTGTATAAATTTGTCTTTTTTATTTCATTTGCTGGGCAGTCTGTGAATCCTTTTAAGTCAGGAACTTGAGTCTTCAACTATGAAAAATTTTTTGTATCATTTCTTTGATAATTTTCTTCTCAAATTTTATCTTCCAGGAATTTATTTTAATTCTATTTTGGATCTTTTCTATTGAACCTTTGTTTTTCATGAATGCACATACACACATTTTTACATATATAAATATACATATTTTTATAGCCACTAATCATTTCTTTGGCATTTAATTCTACCTGTAGATTTCCTTGATATTTTATAAGTCTTCATTTCTAAATTTAAATTTGTTTTATTCATTTTTAACTTATTTGAATTTTTGTCCATATCTTTTTTTAATAGTACCCTATAGTTTCTTGTAAAATCTAATCTTAACTACTCTAAGTCTTGTGAAATGTAATCTTAACTACTCTAAGAATATTGATTATAGTTAATTATATTTTAAATTTACAGGAGGTTTTTTTTTTGTACTGGTATTGCTGTTAACTGTTTTTTTTAATTCTTCTCTATTTCCTGTTTCTCTTCCTATTTTATAATTTTGTTCAGTGTCTGTCATATGGTAGATATTAAATGTATTTTAGTCTTTGTTGTCCACACTGAAAGTTGTTTGGAAGCATTTGGGGCAGAGCTTATAACCTGACGGATTTTACTGTGATGAGAAGATAGCAATTAGCCTTTTCACTGGGAAATTCCTCAAATGCCAATAAGTATATATAGAACTTTTCAATTAGTAAATTTTCTAAGGCAGAAATTTCTAATCTTCTATCAACTTTGTGGGGAACTGTGGTAGGGAAGGAGATTGAAAAACCTGACAATTTATACTGGTAAATGTTAATTTATGTTTAATCCAGAACCTTTATATTTAATCCAGAACCTCCCTGGTGGCCTTGGGGTTAAATCTCAGCACTCTTGCTGCTATGGCCTATGTTTGATCCCATTTAGGAAGCGAGCACCCGTGGCACAGCAGACATTACCTGTCTTACCCGCTGTTCCCCTTAGCAGTATATTTCAGGAAATCTGCCTGTTCTGTTCCCCACTCTGTCTCTGAATCCACTCATACCCTCCAACCCCTACACCTCTGGCCTGCACCCCAGTTCTTTATGCAAACTAAATACTTTTATTTAATCCTTCTCTTTTTATCCATCTCACCCTTAACTATGACTAATGTCCCTTTTCAGATCCTCAGCATGTCAGTTTCACCCTATCTTTGTGATAGGAGAGATACAGAAGCCTGAATGTGGATATTAGAGAAGATCTTAAGATTCTTAATTGGACCATTTAAAAAATGTTCATCAGGCCTCTTTGCTACAGTACCACCCTATACCTATCTTCAGAAACAGCACCTTCAACTCTTAGGCCTTTCTGGGGTCCCACAATGCCAGAGAGTTTGCTGTTTTGTTGGTAGCCCATCTGCCCATTTCAGACCTCAGCTTTTGTTTTCTTTGACTTTGGTATCAGTTAACCCCCTGAGTTATGAGTAACTCATCCCACCTTCTAACATTTTATTAACATCTCTCATCACCTTCTTCCCATTTTATTTATCCTTGGGTTTATTACTCTGCACTCATTTTAATAGTATTTTAAAAGATATCAAAGAAAGTTTAATTCTTTGCACTTTAATAAAATTCTACAAATTTTTGTAATTCCTCATTTGGAATTGCCTTCACAATTTACCCTGGAAATACTTATTTTCTGTCTTTCTTTCTTTACCATTTCACTTTTACTGCTGGTAACTTGAAACAAAAGCCCTGACTCCTCAGAGAGGGAATTGCTGCTGATACTGACCCAGGACTAAGAAATCATAGGCAAGGGACTCAGGAAAGGATGTAGGTTTGTATGATGGGAGCATTTTTCAAAGTGCATCAAGAAACGTACTGACTAATACAAACTCATATGTGTGATGCCTGTCTGTGGTAAGTGGGTATAATGGGCAGAACCATAAGTGTAAATGCCCTAATTTGGATAACACTGTATGTATTTATTTGTAAATTAGCTATTTAATGGATCCAGAGAAAAATTCTTGGATATATTGATGTCTAGAAAATATAGTTCTCAAAACTAATTTCAAGATAACCACATCTTTCCTTTAAGGCTTGTAGTTAGATAATACAGAAGAGTAGATCTAGAAACAAACAGTGAAGGAGACATTTAAATAAATCTAAAATATGATCCCACATGTGTGGGTATGTGCTATGTTATTTAATTGTTTTGAATAACAGAGCGATAGTTGTGGCACAAAGCTATAGACTTCACTCAATTCCCTATCATCAGAAATCCTGTGTATATCTCACACCCATTGGTTCCTAGGAAATTAATAGTCAACCTAGCAATGATCTGGATTGGGGGAAGTTAATTAGAGAGAAACTGCTTTAGAATAACTATTCTCTTAAACCCACAGGCAAAAAAAAATATATCAGTATTGTTAAAAATAAATAAAATTACTCTTCCAGGCCCAAATTAACTGAAATATCCATGGTGTAGAATGTGGCTCCATTTTAGAAACTAAAAATATGCATCTCTCAGTTTCTTTCTGATTAATAAGATGTCTTAGTGCTCTTTGAACTAAATTAGATTCTGACTTACATTTTGAAGTCTGAATATGAATCAAGGCTGGAGAATCAAGCATTTTATTTTCTTGCAAAAGTTAATTTATGAGAAATATCTATTTTCATGGGATGCTGGTTATATTTGTCAAAACCTATCAGCCTTTTCACATAAAGTAAATATATATACATATATTTATGTATGTATGTATGTGTATATATATATATATATATATATATATAAATTCTGCCCCCAATCAGTTGATTTTAAAATTTGAATATCTTAGAGATTTTTTCAAGACTTTCTCCTACTTAAAATTACTTCATGGGGTATGGTGACTAAAAGCTAATAAAAATATTGCCTTTAATAAGTCATTTGACTTGGAGTCTGTAACCTCAAGCTTTAATCCTCTGATACATGTAACTGAGCTTTAAACAATACTTCAGCAAATTTTGAAGATTAAATTTTTAGATGCATATGAAATACTTAGCACAATACCTGGCACATAGTAGATCCTCAGTATATATTAGCTCCAAATTATTAATATAACAATTCTTACCTTATACATTGTCATTTCTCCCTTGATTTCTTGTTTTGTTTTGTTTTTTTAATCCTTTCACAGAAAATCCATATAGACAGCTGCCTTGTAACTGTCATGGAAGCATGCCTGGGAAGACAGCAATAGAACTTGGACCTTTATGGTATGTGCCTTAGCTATTAATAAATTCAAACTTGATTTGAATGCAAACATGAAAATTTAGACAAGTAATTATGATTCCTCTCCTATGAACCTCAGGTGTTTTCATTCTTCAAATTTCCCTGCCATTATTCTACTAAGTTTATGACAGTGCTAAGAGGCAATGAGATCAAAGAGCGGTCTGGCTAATCTGCAAACTAATTATTTCTAAATTATAAGAATTACTTTTTTCAGTTGACAATTATAGAACTAGAGAGTAATTGTGATCACAGTGTTATAGAAGAGTTAACTAATATAAATTATCAAGGAATTGGTTCTTTTGGTATGTGCATGGTGTTTTTTTCTTCATTTTTTCCCTTCAGATCAAGAAATTAGTTTTAAGGGAGAAGAACATGTGAAAGGAAATGCCTGCTTTTGTTTTAGTTAAAGCTGTTTGATGACATGCAAGATGAGATATTTAATGGATTTGAGCTTTTGCATTACTACCAGTTAGTTACTATGCTTTTAATATTCCAGCTAATACCCAAGGAGTGCTTTCATCACACCTCAATACACTTAGATTAAGAATGATCTAATCAGCCTTTCCTGCTAGTGCTTATATATGTATCATGTGCTGCACACTGCTCAGAACTAGAGAAATTACAAATACAACATTTTGCTGAACTTACAAGGGAAATAAAGCCCAACTCTCTTGTTTTAGATGAGAAAACTACCACATTGTTTTTAAGTGCTTGCCACAATTGAACCCCCAAAATTTGTTATTAGCACAGGCAAGACTTGACTCACTCAAAACCATTGTTCATATTTTTACTCTTGTAGGGCACAAAATAAATAACCCCATCCCCTCTGGGTTTTTCTCAGGCTGGATAAATAATCAAAACAATAGCAAATGGGTTAGCAAAAGATAAATGATCGATTTTATAAAATCTGTATGGGAATTCACATGGTTATGAATTCTAGAAAATAATAGAGCAGGCCAGGAACATTTATCCTGCATTTTAGAACCTGGACATCAAGGACAAAGATAGGGAGACTTCACATGACAGGTAAGAAAGGGGTGACTTTATCCTTACCCGGAGAGTACATACAGATTTTTTGGTTAGGGAGAACATGTTTACTGGGAAACCTAGAACTGGCTGAGCTCCCCAGACTATATTCTTCTAAGTCATAAGAAGGAGACCAGTGGTTATTTCTTCAGTTAGGAAAAGGACAGAGGCTTAGGACTTATTGATCTCTTCAACTTGGGAAAAGCAAAGGACTCTGGCAAGAACATAAGCTTTTCTTATCCTTCAGGACCCTCACTGCTTTCAGCCTAATCAGTCTGCCATCTTTAGTAGTAAGAAACCACCAGATGCTCATAGAGCGATGACTGACTTCTAGTTTTCATATCAAGGTGAAAGGCCTACTCAGGGCCTATTGAGAAAAGTCTATCTGACCATTTGAAGTGATCCCATCCCCCACTCTCATTCAGAATCCTTTCCCCCATCCTTACCTCCAACTCAAATTCTACATCCTCTTTGAAATCACTCCGTAATGCCTCAACACAAAATAATCTAGAAATTCCCTTTAAGTATTACATTGATCATTATTTTTTTAAAGATTTATTTATTTATGCATACAGAACTGAGGTAAAGGTCAGAGGTGTAGGGGCAGTGAGAGGATTCACCAGAGACAGACTGAGGAGCAGAACAGGCAGTTGAAGAAGTACACTGCTGAGGGGAGCAGCGGGCGGGTCAGGAGAGGTCTGTGGCGCCATGTGGATCACCTCTGGGGCTGGGGGTCGAACTCATACTGCACCTCTGGGGCTGGGGGTCGAACTCATACTGAAGTGGCGTTAGCTTCTTAATGCTTTAACCCTCTGTGCCACCAGGGAGGGCCCCTTATTTTTAACAACTGTTAAATTTTGCCATTTCTGCTTATCTATTTCCATATCTTCTTTTATTTATTATTTTTTCTCAACTCTTCTATACCCTTGTACCTTTCTCTTCCTCCTCCCTCTTAACCTAAGTGTTCACATGGTATTTATTGATGTCCACTGGTTTTGTTATAGTTTGTTATACATTATCAAATTATCTTCTTAGTAAATATCCAGTATTGTTCTTATTGTATGCTTTGCTTTACTACACATAATTCTCTCAAACTCCCTTCATTTTGTTGAAAATGGCTGCATTTCATCCTTCCTTAAGGTGACTGCATAGTACATAGTGTAGCTATACCATACTAATCCAATCATATCAACCGACATTTAGGCTTCTCCCATGTCATATGTATTGTAAATAATGCCGCTATGAACATTGTGGAACAGGAATTTTGTGTTGATGGTTTTATGTTCTTTGGATATATGCCCAAGAATGGGCCTTGTTGGGTATTTCCATTTTTGTGGTTAATTCAGATTGCTGTCCATAACAGTTTATAACAGTTGTAACAGTTTTATTCCCTCCAACATTATATAGGATTGATTCCCTTTTCTCCACATCCTTTCCAATACTTGTTGTTGGAGGTCTTTTTAATTTATGCCATTCCCACAGTTGTAACTAGTATATCATTATGGTTTTTAACCTGCATCTGTCTCTCTTAATGGAAGCAATGATGAACATTTTTTCATATGTCTATTGGTCTTTTGGATGTCTGTTCTTTTTGGTGAATTGGCTGTTCATACCTGCTGTCTGCTTACTAACTGGATTGTTTGTTTTCTTGTATATTTATCTTAGATTTAATCTCTTAACAGTTACATATTGTCTTTTTAATTGTATTTTTTATCCCTTTATATACAGAGGTTTTTAACTTAATGTAATCACCACTATTTTTGTTTTTGTCTTGCATAAGGGTTCCGGTCACCAAAAATATTGTTGATGTCATGGAGTGTATTGCCAGTGTTTTCTACTTTATACTTTATTGCTGCAGGTCTTATAAGTACACACATGCTGCGATTAAATGTTTTAAGTTTTCTGCGTTGAATCTGAAATTTATTGGGGGGAATATTGCTCTTTTTAAGATTTATTTATTGATGTATACTAGAACTAAGATTACAGGCCAGAGGTGTGGGGTAAGGGTCGATTAGAGAATTCACCAAAGACAGTGGGGTGCAGAATAAATAGGCAGATATACTGAAATACACTGCTGGTGGAACAGTGAGTGAGACAGGAGAGGTCTGCTGTGCCGTGTGGGTCACCTCCCTTCCCTGGCTGGGGATTGAACTCATGCTGCAGTGTCTACTGATAGCTTCATAGTGCTGAGACTTAACCCCTTGCACCACCAGAGAGCGCCAACCCCCCTCTTTTTTTTTTTTTTAATGGTTTAAGCACTGTATAGGAGTATGTAATTTAGGGGAATAGATTCACACCACCTCAGATGTACGTCAACCACACATACTACCAAAGCACCCAAGTGCTTTACATTGCAGATACTATAGCTAAATTTTAATCCATTTGGAGTTTATTTTTGTGTATGGGACTAACAACTGACCCAACTTCATTCTTAAGTGTGTCGCTTTCTAATTTTCCCACCACTGTTTATTAAAAGAGTCAGTCCTTTCCCCATTGTTTAGCTATAGCTACTTTATCATAGGTTGGGTACTGGGGTATATAAGGATTTATGTCTGGTCTTTAAATTCTATTCTCTTGCTTTCTATTGCTATTTTTGTGTCACTATTATATTAGTTTGAGTACTGTTGGTTTATTCTAAAACTTAAAGTCAGATTTACCTAGATTTCTCTCTTTTTTTCTCAGGTTTTCTTTTGCAATTCAGAGTTTTGTGGTTTTATATGAATTCAATTTTTTTGTTTGATTTCTTAAATATTGTTGATGTTTTGAAGGGGATTGCATTAAATTTATAGCTCCCTTTAGGCATGATAGTCATTTTGATTACATTAATGCTTTCTGTCCATGAGTATTGGATATCCTTTCATTTCCTTATGTCATTACCTAAATTCTTAAATAAGATCTTCTTATAGTTCTTGTATCTTTTTATCTTCTTATGATAATATCAAGGTATTTCATTTTGAAATTGTTATATATGGAATTATTAATTTCCTTTATTTATTTCCTTTTGCTTTGCTTATGTAATTTCATTGCACAAATAGAATGCATTTCATTGATTTTTATATGTTGATTTTGTAACTGCATACTTTGTTGTGTTGTTTGTAGTATTTTAATGGAATCAGTAGATTTTCTCACTTTCCGACTTGAATTACTTTTATTTCCTGTTTTTGTCAGATAGCTCTAGAAAAAACTTCTAGTACTAAGGTAAAAATGGAGTAGTGAAAATGGACATCCTTGTCTTGTTCCCAATCTTAAAGGGAAAGCTTTCAGTTTTCACCACTAATTACTATATTAGCTGTTGGTTTGTATGCATGGCCTTCATTGTGATGAGGTAGGTTCTTTCTATTCCCATTTAGCTTGGAGTTTTTAATCATAAATGCAGGCTGAGTCTTACAAAATGGTTTCTGTATATCTATTGATATTATCATGACTTTTATCTTCACTTTTTTAAAATGTATTACCTTGAATGATTTATGTGTTTTAAGCCATTCTTGCACACCTGGGATAAATCCTAGCTGAGCATGGTATATAATCTATGTGATAAAATACTGAATTCAGTTTTATTTTGTTCAAGATTTTTCATTGATGTTCATTAGGGAAAATGGTTTATAATTTTCTTTTGCTGTCTTTGACTTCAGTATTAAGGTAATGTTGGCATTATAAAATGTATTAACAAGCATTCCCTTATTTATTTTTTTTTAATAAGTTAAGGGCCTCCATAGTGGCTTAGGGGTTAAAGTCTCAGCACTATCAAGCTATTACCAGCCACTGCAACATGAATTTGATCCCAGGCCAGGAAGGTGATCTATACCTGTGGCCTACAGGTCAGTTCTTGTATGCATAAGTAAATAAAAATAAATCTTAAAAAAATAAGTTGAGGGCCTCCTTAGTGGCCTAGAGGTTAAGTCTTAGGGCTATCACCAGTAAGGCTACGATGCAACAGATATCTCCTGTCTTGCCTGCTGCTCTGCTAAGCAGTATATTTCAGTAAATCCACCTGTTCCACTCCCCACTCTTTCCCTAGTGAATCTTCTGACCTTCCTCACCTTTGGCCTACTCTTCAGTTCTTCTGGGTAAAAATAAATAGAATCTTTTAAAAAATAAATAAAAATGAAAAGTTGAGCAAGATAGGCATTGGTTGTTTTTTAAAGGTTCAATGAAATTAATTTATAGTCATCTGGCCCCAGGCTTGGGCTTTTCCTGCCCCGATATTTTTATTACTGTTTCAGTTTCCATGCTTGTGATTGGTTTGTTCTACGCATCAGTTTCTTTCCAAGTTCATGTTGATGCATATTTTAATCTAGAAATTTACCCATTTGTAGATTATGATTGTTATGAGATTAACAAATTTATAAATTTGTTCACAGTAATCCCTTAGGATTCCTTGTATTTCAGTGTTATATGTAGAGATTTTATCTTTCATTTAATGATTTTTTGTGTGTGTGTGCTATCCTAACTACGGGTTTGTCTATTTTGTTTACCTCTTCAAAGAACAATTTTTATCATCATTGATCTTTTTTTAATCTTTCATTGTTGCCACTCTTATTTTTATTAGTTCTTTCTTCTACCATTTTGCTTTAGGTATAGTATTAGATTGTTTATTTGGGATTTTTCTTACTGTAGCTCAGTTACTACAATTATCTTCCCCTTTCTCCTGTATCTCCTAGATTCTCACAGCTTGTGTCAACATTTTCATTTGTTTCAAGGTATTTTCATTTTTGCTTTTATTGCTTTTAAGCAACATGTGGTTTCCTCTACCTGTATTCAGAGTTTTTCCAGTTTTTTTCTTAATTGTTGATTTTTCACTTTATAGCATCAGTGAGAGAATGTGTTGTGTGAGATATAATTTCAGTCTTTGTACTTTTATTGACAACTGACTTGTGCCCCAAAATATGATCTAGTAAAATGTTCCATGTTCACTTGAAAAGTGGGTAAGTTCTATAGATGTCTGTTAGACCTATTTGATATAATGTCTCATTAAAACTGTTGCTTCCTTAATGATTTCATTGTTGTAAATCAGGTATTAGAAGCCCCTAGAATTACTGTGTTGTTGTCAATATCTCTTTAGTTGTTTATTGTCCTATATATCTCAGTGCCCCATCATTGGATACCATATATTTATGAGTGTTACTTCTTTTGTATTAGATCCTTAATTGTAATATAGTGTCCACCTCTAGTCTCTTAGTAACATTCATAATTGGAAGTTTGTTTTATCAGATACAAATATAGCTGTTCCTGATTTTGCTTGCATTGCCCCTTGTATAACTGTCTTCTAGCCTTATCTTTGTCAGGTGGGTTTCTTATAAACATTCAGCCTCTACATCTTTAGATTGGTAAATTCAGACAGTTTACTCTTTTTTTTTTTTTTAGAGATTTATTTATCTTGTGTATACAGAACTGAAGTACAGGCCAGAGGCTCAGAGGTGGTGAGAGGGTTCACCAGAGACAGAGTGGGGAGCAGAACAGGCAGATTGAGGAAGTACACTGCTGAGGGGAGCAGCAGGCGGGTCAGGAGAGAGGTCTGCCACGCCATGTGGTCACCTCCGGGGCAGGCGGGAATTGAACTCATGCGGAAGTGGCTTTAGTTTCTCAGTGCTGCGCTTTAACCCACTGCACCACCAGGGAGGGCCCAGACTGTTTACTCTTAAGGTGATTATTGAGGCATAAGTGTTCATTATCATATGCATTACATCTGTTTTTTACTTAGGTTGGGATATGATGGCGTATAGGCTATTGTGTGTGACCTCTTGGCTGGCCTAGTCTGTCTCATTCTTATGACCACTTTGTTACCCTCCTTCTTCACATGTGATTTAGGTGTCACCTCTATATTCGTTGTTCTGTGGCTTTATATAATAACCCCTTTTAAGATTCCTTTCATGTGTGATTTGGTGTTGATAAATTCGTTTAGATTTTGCTTTCTCAATGGATGGGGTTCACTAAATGCTTAATTGATTTTGCTGGAATTTTTTTCTCTTAAGTAGTTTTAAATTTCTTCCAGTCCCTTCATGCTTGTAATGTTTCTACAGAAAGTTCACTAACAGTCTAATTGGTGTTCCCTTCTAGGTTACTCTTTTTTTCTAGATGTTTTTCATATTTTAGTCACTGGCTTTCAGCAGATTAATTCTACTATTTCTTGCTCTGTGTGTGTGGTATTTTGTTTGGAACTCTTTGGGCCTCTTGGATCACATCTGGCTTTCCAAATGAAGATAAATTTTCAGCAATTATTTCTTAAAAATAAATTTTCTATGTCTTTTTTTCTTCTTTTGGGACTCCTATGATATAGATGTTCACTATTTTCAGTTTTTTCTCTACATTATTCTGTTTGTCTTCTCTGACATTGTATCTTTGGGATCATAATTCTATTTTTCTGTTTGCTGATGACACCAATATTTTAATTCAGTTGTAGAATATCTTACTGCTATTAGTTATCACGGTAACTCTTATCTTTTTTTTTTTTATTTAGGGCTGCTTTCTTTATTTTTAAAGATTTATTTATTTATGCCTACAGAACTGGGTATAGGCCAGAGGTGCAGGAGTGGTGAGAGAATTCACCAGAGACAGAGTAGGGAGCAGAACAGGCAGATTGACAAAAGTACATTGCTGAGGGAAACAGCCAGCAAGACAGGAGAGGCCTGCTGTGCCATGTGGATCACCTTCTGGGGCAGAGATCAAAGTCACACTGAGTGACTGCAGCTAGTTTGCAGTGCTGCATTCCTAACCAGTGTGCCACCAGGGAGGGCCAACTGCCTTATCCTTATATTGTAGATACTGCAACAATATCTCCACTGTTACTGTTACATCATTTTGTTAATAAGTTCAATAAGCCTTGTTAGAGCTGTTAACCTTGTACTCATCAAGCATGTTCTACAGTTCCACTGTATTGAGAGTTCTGTGTTGTTTTTTTTTTTCAGGTTTTGTGGTTTGTTCAGCATTTTTCACTTTTATGGATTGTGATAGGGATATTCAGACTACTGACTTTACACCTGTTCTAGTAGTCAGAGAACTGGTGCCAGTGAGGGATAGTAGCTGTAAAAGACTGGAGCAGTAGAGTACCAAAGGCTCACTTACAGTAAATATCAGAAATTCAAGCTTCCTACTATGGTGCAGATACCAGAGTTATGTGGCAGGCATCCACACTGAACTATCAATTTCTTGATCTTAGTGTCTTTTAGTCTGTGACCACTTCCACTCTAGGTTATTTTTGAACACTAGATGTAGCACTTGGCATAGATTGTGGCTGCATCATAGTCAATAATTTGATAAACAAGATTACCATGTATTTGGAAGTTCATTTTTCTTTTCCAACACAAAATCTTATCCTGGAGTATGTACCCCTGTTACTAACAGGTACTTGCTCATTTACTCAAGTGTTCCTTTGTTATTTAGCTCTGGGGTGGAGAGTGTGTTTTCTTGTCTTCAAGTATTAGCCTCTCTGGGAGTAACATAGGTCATCCAATTGGTTTCTCCCTCCCAATTTAGGAGGGAAGCTTCTCTATTAAGAACCTCAGGCTCAAGCCAGTAATCCTTGCTCAGCACCCCAACCTCTGCAGTTCATCCTCTGTCCAGTGTCGACTCTTGGGCATTCCCCTTTACCCAGTGCAATATTGGAAGTCTCCAATTTGGTGGGTGCTTGAGTTAGTAACTGTAGGGGGCTCTACATAGTAGTTACTCCTCCAATCTTATGGGTTGTGTTCTTCCAGATCACAGTGAACGCACTTGATTTAAAAGTTTTTCCTACCTCTTTAAACTGGACTTGCTCCTACTGTGTGCTGTGGTTGTCAGTTTTCCCCTCCAAGGTTTTTTTGGCTTTGTTCCACTGCAGTCTAGTTGAGTATATGAGCATCCTTGATGCTGCCACCATGTTGCCAGATTCCTCATTGAGTGCTTCAGAGTACTGTACCTTCCATATATACTTGCTGACCCTAGTAATAGCTGCCACTCACTGAGGATATACTTAATATCCTCAAACATATGTTTGCTATCTCATTTAATTTCTTGACAGTATGAAAGTTTTTATTTTTCATTTGATAAGGAAGAAAATGAGACTAACTGCAGTAATTACTGAAAATTACATTGCTGACAATCAGGGGTCATCATGATGGGACCCAGGCCTATCTAAGAATTTCATATTCTGTTCACTATAGCTATGATTCTTAAGGGCACTCATCCCAGTGCCCTTTTGTCACTGATATCTCCACCACAGTTCATGTGCCTCCCTCTGCAAAACCTTACTATCTACACACTGGCATTGAAATTCACTGTAACTGACTGGAATGTACATTGTGAAAACCTCTGCATTACACTATGTCCCTGTCAAAATTGTTTAGATTAGTAAGTAAACACTGTATTTCATATTTTGATATACCTTCCACACCTGTATAACAGCACTGTACTCCTTAGTGAGGGCTCAGTTAATTAATTTGCTGGGAATGAAATTTCTTCAACTAACCCTACCAGCTCATAACTGAGTAAGTATAGGTGGTAAGTAATAACAAGCCATTTTAACTGAAATCACCTAATTTTAGCTTCAGTATTTACTATATCCAATAAATAATCCTGTTTACTTATAGGTAAAATTATGGAGACTTTAACAAAACTTAACAATGTATTTCCTAAACCCAATTCTCTATACTTTCTTTTTTTTTAGGTCAAGTTCCCTTTTCAATACTGGATTCCTCAAGAGAATGTTATTTGAATCTCTCCATCATGGTTTAGATGACATTCAGGCCCTAATAAAGACATTAATCTTTGAATCAGAGTGTAGTCCACAATCTTCAGTTCACATACCTTCCAATCTCAACAAGCAAGGTGACTTGAACACTGTTTTACTGACTTAATCATAAATTGATTATCAAAATACTATTTATTTGGTATATAATCAGAAGCAATATAATGCAGAATATTAAGTAAATTTCTAATGAGTATAATTATAATCCTGTTAACTTTTTTTAAAAAAATGAGTAAGTTTGTATTTAGGACCTGAAATAGTTATAGACATTTTATATATATATACTTTTTAGTAGATTAAAAATTAAACTAAAAGCCTGTTATGATTACCCTAAATTTGCTATAAAAAGAAACCTTAGGTGATTCTAAGAGTAGTGTGGCCCAAAATTCTTGTAATAACCATAGGAAAGAGAAGTTAGATTTATATTTGTCACTCAGTAAAACTCCATTTTTTACCTTTCTCTGTTGTATAAAGATTTTAGCTGACTATTGATATATGGATCCCTAGCATTCGCATACATAATTTTTAAAAAAAGGTAGAGGGTTAAAAAACTCAATTCTTACAACATTTTTGACTGTATAACTTCCTGTCTTTATAAAAACAGAAAGTCTCCATAGAATTTAGCAAACTTTGATTTAAACTGAATTGTTGCCTAGTATTTTCTAAAATATTTTGATATTCCCATTTGTTTTAATTTTAGAAGAATACGGTGTATTTATTAAAACTACAGATGATACCACAACAGATTACATTGCACAAGGTATATGTGTGTGTTTGTGTGTGTGTGTATAAGTATTTACTTACATATGTGTCAGGTTGAACAGGCAGGTAACAGGATAAGAAAAGGGCTTGCTTTGGAATCTTACATCAAAATGCATTTCCATCACATTTTACTGAGAAAAATATAAAACTTATCAAAAATTTTTACATGTTCACATTTCTAATATATGGTGATTCTGTGGAAAGATAAGATTTTGAAGAACCATGTGAACCAGCATGATCAAATGATATTTTATCAAATTAAGTTTTATTCTTATTCTTTTAAAATTTCTCATCAGTATGACTTATAGAAATTCCACTGATTAGCCAAAAGACTATTCCGTAGCCGTAAGAATTTATTATCTGCCTCTTATATCTGTAGATGTGCATATACTTTAAAATATAGATGAGGCATTTCCAAATTCTTGTCAAAATGTATTGATTTAAAACATCAGTGCTGTAATGTATAAGGTTTTGTTTGCTTTTCCAAAGCCAACTTTAGATAGCTCTTAGCCTCTAAGAAGGCCTGTTCATATCTATGCAGGTGTCTGTCTCTTCTCTGCTTTCAAATGCAGCTCTCTGCCTTTGGGGATCTATGCAAGCATCTCTTTCTTCTCATATATGTTAAGGGAAGTAAACTAATCTCTGGGGTTTTATGTAAGACTATTTTGACTGGCCAAAAAAAATTCATGCAGCACATATGTAGCATATATGCAATCCATTGTTGACTATAATGGTAAGTCACATACAGTCAACAATGGATTGCACACATCAGCAGTCCCAACAGGCTGTATAGTGTAGTAGGCTGCACTGTCTCAGTTTGTGTAGTAATACTCTGTGACACTCACACAAGGACTGAATTGCCTAACAAGACATTTTTCAATTGTGTCCCTGTCAGTTAAGCAAATCATGATTACTGCTGATGATAGTCATTATTAAGATATTGTATTGGATTTTTAGACTCAAAGTTTCCTGGAACTTATATACAAAATCTTAGGTATTTATGCTTTCTTAGAATACATGTTAGGGTAAAATAGGAGTCTTGAGTTGTTTTTTGTTTTATGTAAAAAGGCAGTAGTTCAGCAACAATAATTTATAATTACTTGTGAATGCAGTTTATTGTTTTCATGCATCAAAGGATGCTAGCTTCCTTTCACTTAAAATGGGGAGAGTGAGTACTTTAAAAAAGTAGGCAGTGGTGGGCCCTCCCTGGTGGCCAAATGGGTTAGGATGCAGCACTGCAAGTTGGCGGCAGCCACTTCAGTGTGAGTTCGATCCCCAGCCAGGAAGGTGATGCACACGGCGTGGCAGCCCTCTCCTGACCTGCCTGCTGTTCCTGTTAGCACTGTACTTTGTCAATCGGCCTGTTCTGCTCCCCACTCTGCTCTGGTGAATCCTCTCACTGCCCCTGCACCTCTGGCCTGCACCCCCGTTCCATATGCATAAACAATCTTTAAAAAAAAGAAAAAGTAGACAGTGACATTATATAGTATACCTTTGTAAATTTCTGTATCCTAGCCCTTCAGCCCTTTTGTCTGGTTTTTGTTTTTTACTTAACGAAGATTTACTATGTATCAAATGTTGGTATTCTGGAGAGAAGAGTTCAAGTCTAAATTAAGAACATTATCCCCAGGAACTCAGGCTGTGATTTGTGTTAAGAATATGATTTGCAAAAAAAGGAAACATAAAAAGGCCTATATGCTTGAAAGAGAAAAAAAATGTCAATTGTGAGGGCACAATCAAATTTATAGTATTGACAGCAATAAAATTTCAGAACTGGCGCAAAATTCATGTCTTTTTACAGGATATGAAAATAGTCGAAACTTGAAATTCAAGAAGGTAGAAAAGAAGTTGTGGTTCAGTAAAGTTAAAATTAAATGGGTAAAAGAATAGTATAAATACAAGAATAAAGTCTTACAATAAGAACTGTAAGAATTAATATTAGGTGTGTATCCTAAGATTCAGACTTTGTAAGTAGCAATCATGAACTTAATTTATACTTTAGAACACTAATTGTATGTGTATATGTATGTTTCAGGAAAGAGAAAAAGTAATGAAACAATCACACACTTAACAAAGAGGCAGAAGAGCGACAGCAGTACTGAACACCCTCCCTTTTACTACAACATTCACAGACACAGCATTAAAGGAATGAATATGCCAAAGTAAGACAGCCAGTGAACGGCAGTATTTTATATTCTGATGAGACAATATACATATAAACATAGCACCTCACTTTTTTCTTCTTTTCTTTGTTACAGGTTAAAAAAGTTTTTGTGCTATCTTTCCCAAGCAGGCTTTCGAGTAAGCCGAACGCATTTTGACCCAATGGGTGTTCGTACAGATGCACCTCTGATGCAGTTTAAATCTATTCTTTTAAAGTATAGCACGCCCACCTACACTGGAGGACAGCCTGAGGGCCACGTCCAGTCAGCATCTGAAGATACAGTAGCTGACAGGGTTGAAGTGTCAGTGAATGACAAAGCAGAAGCGAGCAGCTGCACGAGATGGTAAACAGGAATGCGTATGTGTATAGGTGACCTGACAGTTCTCTCTAGCAACTGTGGTTTGTTTTCTATTCTTTCAAGTCAGTGATGTTAAAATAAATTACAGTAAGTGCTGTTTTCACTCAGAAAATTAGCAGTTTCTAACTTGGTTTGGGAGCTATGCTTTCCAAGTTTTTATTTTAAAGAAAACAAAACTTTAATGAAAACATTTCCTAGGATGTCAAATTAATGATTGAGATCACCCTGTTTAATAATTCAGAAAATTTTCACAAAGTGTTTGCAGTTTTATATGGTATGGAAGCCATCCTTTACTATTCCTAATTACATCTCTCCTTAAACTGATTCATGTTTTCTTGTTTGTAGCATACGAAATGAAACTATTATCCTGTACATGTTAAAATGACCCTGAATAGAACAACAGTTCCTTCCAGGCCACTCATATATTTTGCAATTGCATAGCTAAAATAATTGTTTTAAGAAAACTACACCTCCCCATAAATTGACGTTTTTAATTTATTACTAGCTTTTGAGAATTATTTGTCTGGGATAGAAATACATTTTAAGTGTAAGCTTTAGATGACTAAACTTCAGAGTAAGGTTTTGTCAATGTAAATTGAGACCACTGTTCTTTATAAAAATTGTTCACAAGCACTGAAGTTCTGAAAAGATTTTGTTTAGCAAATTGGGTGGTCTCAAGTGCCTCATTTAATGCACGAACAATATTCATTTGCTTGGTTATGCTACCTCTCAGAAGTATAAAACTTATTAATTTATGAAGTGAAGATTCTTGGGGGCTTGTGTAGTTGGAGGGGGGATGCGAGCTAATTTTAGGCTAACCTATGAAAGTTGAGTTGGAAAAAGTCTGTTCCCATTAATAAATATTGCTTTTGCCTCATTTGAATATAATGAAAGGACTTGTTATAAAGCTTAGATTTTTGTTTCTAGGATTTAATCCAAATTTACTTTGAAGTGTTCCTCAAAGGAAATAACTTTTTACAAGCCTTTAAGTTAGGGGGTTGGGGATGTAGAGGGGGTTATAACTGAAAGGCTTAAGTGTACAACATTAAAAAAAGCACCCCATAACATACAAAATACCAGGGAGTGCGATTTAGGTTAAAAAAGAGTACTGAATTAGTAGAAACCAAAGAAAATGTGGTAGCACATTACTGAGGATATTTTTGTTTTCTCCAGTTAACAGAATCATACATTTAAATCAAGGCGCTTAAGTTGGTTTCTATGACCATTAAAAATACCAATTCTTGGGGCTCTCCCTGGTGGCACAAGGGGTTAAAGCACCACATTATGAAGCTCTCTGAAGCCACGGGCAGCATGAGTTCAATCCCCAACCAGGGAGCTGACCCGCTGACCCACATGGCGCAGCAGGCCTCTTCTGACCTGCCTGCTGCTCCCCACAGCAGTGTATTTCAGTAGATCTGCCTGTCCTGCTCCCCACTCTGTCTCTGGTGAAGCTTCTCACCCCCCACACCTCTGGCCTGTACCCCAGTTCTGTAAGTATAAGTAAATCTTAAAAAAAAAAAATTCTTGCCAGCTAAATTGTAGCTCACCAATAAGCATCAAAGGATCTTTTGTTCTTTATGAATAACAAATTTTCTGTAAATCCAGAAGGCAAAGAAGCACTTGGACAATCCTAATACATTTTGTTGAGTATGTCTCAAATGTTGAGTAACTTTCAATTTGACTTATTTTGATCGATCAGTGATGAGATTTTATGCCTGCACCCTAATTTAGTATAGAAATTTGTCATTTAACTATTAATTTTTGTACAGGGTCCTTGGGTTCACCCTGGAAAAGATTTCACTAGAGCTCCCCTTTAGAGGCATACAGCGAATTCCCAGGTAACTCAGTTTCTCCATGAGACAGAGTCAGTTATATTTAAAAAGGTTTATTAGAGAAAAGGACAGAGGAGTAAAGGACACTTGCATAGGCACAAGTGGGCAGGCAGAGCTGCCCCAAAGGGACAGGTGTGCTGAGAGAGGCCTGCGTGGTTGCAGGCAGGTGGCATTAGGACAGAGGCCTCCATTGAGGGAGGTCAGTGCAGAGAAGCCCAGGCATGGTACAGGTCATGGACAGGCAGGAAGCTGCTGCCCTGCAGCGGGAGAGCAGGACACCTGCCTAGTCACAGGTGGGCAGATGACAGCTACCCGCAGCCAGTGCAGACTGCCTAATGTAGCCCTTTTCTCTTGGGGAGGGGCTTGTTTCTTTGGGGGGGGGGGGAGGTGGCCTGTTTGCTGCTGATTTTGGATAACCGTGGAATCTCACAAAGGGCCCCATCTCTGTATCTTTACTCTCAGGTCTGTGCTTCTGACATTCCCCACAGCAGTCTGATACAGGAATCTGATACCTTTTTGGGCCTTATGCCTTGTGATAAGGGACTAAGGGTCTTGATTTGTATGACTGAGTTAATGGTCATGTTAGTACTTTCTGCCCCCCACCTCTTTGCATGAGTCAGGTTTTAACCTTGTGATGTCTCCTTCAGGTTTTCTATTTCCCTCCATCAACTATTACTTAGTGTGTGTTGTATATGTGATTAGTTTTACCTATGGGCATATTATCTGAAGAAAGTTTGGTAGTTTGAAACTCTGGTAAGGTATTTTATCAACCCAAAGTGGAAATATTTTCAGAACTTCATCTAGTTCAAACTTAGCACCTTGCTTCCACAATTAACAGTAACTTGGGACACTGCAAATGTTGACCACATTGTAACAACATCACTTATCCCTCCACTAAAAATTGGCAAATAAATTCTTACTTTACTAGTCAGGAAACTAATGTGTTGTCACTGATAGCTGCTTATATTAATAATCTAACCCTATACGGAAAATGCTGTACACAAGAGTTTCGGTTCAGAGCTATTACAATGGATTTGTATTGTAACTATCACCTGCTTCCATAAGCATTCACTTTGAATAAATGCATTTTATTCTGATTCCCAGAAATTAGATCTCAAGCCAGTGAGTAATCCCAGTTGGTCTAGGAACATCTCTTAGACAAGCAATTGGGATGTTTTGGCAGTGTCCTTTCTCATAGGGCTCCTCGTATGTGTATTAAGTCAGATCTGGGAAAATCCCTGTGCTTTCAAAGTGCCCATTTCATCTGAAGCATCTCCCACTGCCATTCCTTCCCTCCAAGGTTAAGACTGTCATCTTCATTTTTTCTTGGGCAGACATACAGCCTTAGCACATCTACTTGACCTTTTAGATTCCCAAGAGTATGCTGGAACTTATCAACACAGATTAGTCCTTCCTCAACTACTCCTTTTGTTATTTGGTCAGCTTGTTAGCCCCAGTAGTATCACTGCTTTAGGAAGTTGCCCTGTAAAACAATTACAGATCTCCTTGACAAACAGGAATAATTTAGAATTGTGTGCACAGAGCAAAGGGAATTAGGTCAAATAAAACAAAATCTTATCATAGCTTTTCAGTGCCAAATAAGTCAAATAGTGGCAGTTCTCTGGGGTGAGCTTTTTGAGAGCTCCCAGCCCCTGTCAATGGCTTTTAGGCTGCTTGCTGATTTTCACAGCGACCATAGTTTTAAAAGAATTTATTTTTCCAGGATATCTTGGAACTGGGGGAAGGGGGTATAGGAAATTTAACAGGACACTGTTACAGTTTTTATTGAAAACTGCTTTTCAGGTTTTTTGGAAGCCTTGGCTTAATTTACTAAGAGTTATGAAGGAGTCGATTTTGACAGTGTTCATTCACCATCTCCTTTTGTGGAGAGAAGATTTTCAAAGGTTCTTATTCCATAAATCCAGAGTTATCAAAGAAATAGTTTTTATAATTACAACTACTCAACATTAATTAACTTGTTTCTAAGATTTTGAAAAGCAGCTATTTTCTAAGTAGATATATGATGGAAATTTGAAAGAGATGCCTTTTCTCATTTGGCATTTCAACTCCCCCATTTTATCCAATATAATATTATGAACCTCAATTTTCTCAAACGTAGAAAAGAAATACTGTCTTCCTCAAAGGGTTTGGAAATTTAAAATGGTAGTGTAAAACTTATTACAGACCTACAGTAATCAAAATTGTGTGGTAATAGCAAAATAAAAGTGACAGTCTAATGGAATACATAGACCAGAAATAAACCCTCACATACAGTCAATTTTTGAATAAGGCCGCCAAGACAATTCAAGAAAGTGCAGACTTTAAAATAAATGGCAATGATAGAACTTGCTATCCAAATGCAAATGAACAAGAGTCCCTCCCTTTCACGAGATTAAATACCTAAATTTAAGAGCTAAAACTAACTCTTAAGAATAGGAAACTTTCATGACAATACATCTGGCAAAGACTTCTTGTATGGAACACCAAAAATAGACCTCAAAGGAAAAAGTTTACCAACTGGACTTCTCCAAAGCTTAAAAACTTGTGTACATGAAAGGTGACTACTGAGAGAACAAAAAAGCAACTCTTACAGAATGGGACAAAATACTTGCAAACCTTGCAAATGTGATAACAGATTAATACCCATTAATATATAATGAACTACAACTCAACAAAAAACATCCAATTAAAGATGGGGAAAGGAGTCGAATAGACATTTCTCCAGAGAAGAACTACAAATAGCCAATAAACACATGAAAAGGCACACAGCCTTTCAAACCATTGGAGAAATGAAAATGGGAACAATTAATTAAGACTTTACTCCAACTAGGGTAGCTACTAAAAATAACAAGCTTGGGGGTAGGAACTCCCTGATGGCACAAGGGGTTAAGTCTCAGCACTATGAAGCTATCCACTACCACAGTAGCCAGGGTTTATTCCTGCCCAGAGTTAAGCTACAAGGTGCAGCAGGCCTCTCCTGCCTAACCCACTGTTCCCCTCAATATTGTATTTCATTAGATCTGATGATTCTGCTTCCCACTCTGTCTCTGGTGAATCCTCCCACCTCCCCCACTCTTGGCCTGCACCCCAGTTCTTATATGTATAAATAATCATTTAAAAAAAAAAGTTTGGACAGGACATGGAAAAAATGAAGCTCTCATATATATTGCTGGTGGGAATGTAAAATGTGAAAAACAGCTTGGTGTTCCTCAAACAAATACAGAATTACCATAAGATTCTCTCCTAGGATATATTTAAAGCAGGGACTCATATTATATACATAGCAACATTATTCACATAGTAAAAAGTGGCCATCAACAGATGAGAGGGAAAACAAAAGTCATATACATATAATGGAATATTATTCCAGCAAGTAAAAAAGAATGGAATTCTGATATATGTTACAATATATATGAACCTCAAAAACATTATGCTATGTGAAGAAAACACAAAAGGCAAATGTGATTCCACTTACATAAAGTGTAAGTAAGATAAAGGTGGAGGGGATAAAGACTTTGGAGTAGCTATCTAAGGAGTGTAGAATTTGGCATCATGAAAAAATCCAGGAAACAATGCTGAGTTACAAAAGTACTGTGAATGTACTTAACGCCACAGAATTGCACACTTAAAAATAGCTGAAGTGATAAATTTGGTTATGTGTGTTCACATCTGGCAAGCCTTTTGTAATTTAGTTGAGATGGTTACAGAAGTTACTTAAATACTTTATGAAACCTTGGTTTGTTGTGATGGTAGAGTACCCACCTTCTGCCTCCAAAATACATAAAAACACACACAACACCATACTCAATGCTCTATCAAACACCTATAATTATATTTTGCAAAGTTACACAGCCAATGAATTCAGTGATGATGCAAAGCATTTACATCCTCTCATACTGACAGATAAAAACACAATGTTCTCTAAGCACAAAGCTTATATTCACAAATAACTTTTTGCTTAAAGACAAAATTTCAATTAATAGTCACAATGAGAATTTAGTTATTTAATGCAAATACTAATCTAATGTCACCAATAAAATCTAAGCAGTTATATCACAAAACCAGGATTATATTCAGTGGACATGCATTAAGAATCTATACAACTTAACATTATACCAGAAAAGGAATTGAATACAAAATTTCCCTTGATTTTTGGAGGTTTTCAAATTTCATGGCACAGTTTACCAAAAAAGAAAAAAAATTATAAAAACAGATTTTAAGTATTTTCAGTAAAATGGTAAAAAATTTAATAATCCTTTAAGTTTTTATACTGCGCTGAGTTGAAGATATGAAACATCAAGCTGGCCCCAATCTGTCAAAAAAGACAGATTAATATTCACGATGAGTAGAGGCTTTAATTCTGATTACTGGAGGACCACTTCCACCCAGCAAAAACCCTTTGGGTTAACTACTCAATGCAAACATGTTTTTATAAATACTGTGATAATATAAACTTAGAAACATACCTGGAATCAGGAGAGGGATGGAAAAACAACACAAGTCAATCTTACTTCTGACCTGTTGTCATGAATCCTGGATCCAAACACCAAACACTGTCCTCAATATTTAAGTAGGAAGGGTAGAATGACTTTACCCTACTGACTGACATTCTTCTACAGAATTATCTTTTACTACATTTCAAGGCAGGGCTCAAACTCCATTAACTTGCCTCTCTAGAGTGTAGTTAGCAGAGCACCAAATTTATAATGATATGGCAACCCAACCTGCTAATAAACACACTTTTCAAACAGATGCAAGTTCTTACCCCTTTGCTAATTTGTGCCATGTTATTTTTGAAACTTAAGTGGCTACCAATAAGAAAATAATCAGGGAAGTTTTGAACATATCTTGTACTTTTTTTCATCAAGGCTAAAGTGCAAAATATCTCTGTATTTCTGGTATTTTAACAGGAAATAACATCAAACACACATAAAAAAAGAAACGGAAGTGACAGGAGAACTAATACCCCCCCAAAAAAAATTACTTTAAATACACACTTGAAGACTATGTAAGACCAATTTAATTTTTTTTCTTCAGTGAAATCTGCAATGAGCCAAGTTCTCACAGAACTTGGGATTTTGTTTGATTCTATTTCCCAAGACCAGACAATTCAAAATTAAAGGGGAAAAAACATGGAAAAAATAACATTGCATGACAATGGACTCTAAGTTCATAAAGAACTTCTTTAAAATGAGATATTATGGAAGAAAATACCATGAAAATAATAATCCTATGAGAATTGTTTTTTAAGCACAGTAAATTTGAGCCTTGGTCTTCATGAAGATACTACAGCTTATATAGAAAACTATAAATATACAAGACTCCAGGAAAAAAAGTCAAAATACATATTATTTAACATTCTATAGGCCTAGAAAACTTTTCAGGGGAGAGAAAAGGATGGCCAATTGACTCTTAAGAATACAGAACCGTGAAAAATTCCTGGGTCAAAAAGGGTGCTCCAAATGGAACCATACTTTGTGAAAACATACAATCTTAATATATTTTTAAAAGGGAAAAAAAAAGTACTGAATAACTGCAGTCCCTTTCAAAAAGGAAATCTTAAGTTAAGGGGAAAAGATTTTAATAGTGTAAACAAGTCTGGCTCAGAAAGAAAACTGAACATATCCAAGATTCTGTCCATAAAAGTAATGACGATACATCTTTAATATTAAAGAAATAGGCTATAAAAAAGTTCACTCTCAGAATCGGTTTTAGTAAAAGCTCATTTGTGCTCCTTTGTGGGTGCATAATAAAGTTCCATGGGTTTGTTCACTTTCCAGTATTTCTCACTGACCAATTCCAAAGAAAAAGAGCCATTTAATACCTAAAATAAAAAGAGAATTATGAAAAACATCAAAATACAGCAATTGGGAGATGGAACAAACATAAAAATCTGTCTTTTTAGGAAAAAATGTAGAACAAGCTACGTGTTATTTTTTTAATAATATAATAATTTATATTTACATCACTTTGTGCATTTTTCCATCTCAGTTGTAATCCCCATGTACTTATATTATTCTTAAAAGAAAAAAGCAGATGGAAAAGTTACTGGCAGGGCCATTACTTTTTTCAGGATCCAGTTCCACTTTGTTAGGCCCCACCCTCACATGCCACTCTCAGAGGGTCACTGTACTTTCACATTGCCAACAGTCTATTTTTTAAATACTCACGGTAAACTGGCCACTGGCTGTTGCAATGTAAATGGTATACTGCTTCTCACTGGCTGTGTCAAGGTTCATCTGGTTTGATTCTCCTTTGCTTCGAAGTTCTTCTAAAGCTAACCTCACAGCCAGATACTTGGATAAGTGATCAACAGTGGCATTACCTGAAGTCTTTATGTATCTGGAAAACCATAAAAACATTAATTTCTAAATTAATGAAAAACTGTACTTAAATTATGTAACACAATTTTAAAAGCTATACAAAATGTGAATCTCAATTAGTGATGAAATAAAATTTACTCAATTACCTAAAAATGTATTGCAAAATGCTACAGGAAAAAAGCATACGGTATACAAGGACGCAAAAGCTCTATCCACCCTATCACTCAAAATGAGTGAATATGACAAAAACAAACATATACAGTATGGTGGGGAGGCGTGAGGGGAAGAACATACTCCTCAAGTCAAGTCAACAGTTCTGCTGTCTAGTGCAGCAAAAATAATACAAATATGCACAATTTCTTACTAAAAGTTTTCTCAGCACAAAAGTACAATCTTGCAATTTCTCAGAAAATATGGCACACCATAATTCAACCTCTTGCCTAGTAAGTATTCGGTGTTTAAGGGTACTCATGCAAGTGGTGTGCTGGGGTGGAGCAGAGCAGTCATCCTTGCCAGCATGAATTTTGGAGCCTAATATTGCTGTTAAGAAACTTATTTTTTTATTGAGTAACTAAAACTGGTTTATGATACAACACTTTACAAGTGATCATTTTCCTGTTTTACTTAGGAGAGTCATTCCTTTCAGGTATGTGACCATGAATAGAAAGGAAGAAAATAACCCAGACAGCCAGAATATCCAAATGAAGTCTAATGATCAACAGACTGACAAATATTGTCTTTATTTCCTGTGCAAAGTTGACTTTTACCTTCAAATTAAACACCTGAATTCAGATCATCTGAAATTAACCCACATACACTTACCTTGTCTGTGCACTGTCATCTTTTTCCATAAGTGTGGGATGAGGCCTGAATACTAATTCAATTTCACTAGCACCATCCATCACTGGATCAATTGCCACTGTTGCATTGTTGTTATCAAGCTCAAGCCCAGAATCATCAGAAGTTTTGGTCCGTTTGTTACTAGGTCCTGCTTCCTGATTGCTGTGTGTGGAGGCATTACTACAGTGTGAACTGTCACCGTTGTCTTCTGCCCCGCTACCATTTTCAATCTGTTGCTTCTTGCCACGCTGTAATCTATTTGGGAGGAGGGGAGCAGCAGTAGAAGTATTGAGTAAAATTTACATTTAGGCTTTTTCAATGCAAAAGTTCACTGATCTTTAGAATTCTAAGTTTTTCAGTAACTGAATCTGCTCCAAGTTGCATGACATCATTGACTTCTAAAAGGTCTAAAGAATCTCATTCACACACACAAAAAGAATGATTTAAGCAAGTATTTATATTCACTTAGTAATTTTCTTTATTAAACACTTCCATTGAGATTTTAAATCTAAAGGAAGGCACAACTATATATAAAAATTTAGAAGTTCTAAGGGATGAAATGTATGTGTCATATTAGCAATTCTTAAATTTAAGAATGGTGAGCACTCCTTCCCTACAAACCTCATGCAAAGTCTGATAATACACCACAAAATTATTTTAATGATGATGTTATTTAAATGAATACAGAAGCTCTCTAACAAGCCTGAACACTAGTAAAACCAGTAACTGAAAGTACTTTATGTATATATCTCATTTACTTACTAAAACAAATGTCAAGGCAGTTAATGTCACCATTTTAGTTAAGCAAACCAAAGAAACTGTGGGTCAAGTCCCAAGACTCATTATAAACTAGTAAGTTCCAGAGCTAAGTGGGGCTAGTATATGAATCCTTCTACATTCTCTTTATTGTACTACCTCTTTCTACTTGTAAATGCAAGTTAAAAAGATATTAAGAAGAAATACAAAATACTGACATGTACTTTCTACAAAATGTCAATCATCACATATTTATTACCAGAAAAAGAAAACAACAAGCCGCTACTTAGGAAATATGCCACACACCTCCATCCAAGCTTATAGATCACATCAAAATTAAAGGGGGTAATTACTGTATGTTAACAAAATGATGACTCAAAAAACACAAGCACATACCATGAACTATTATCCCAACAGTCTTAAAAAGGAACTCCTCGGCCCTCCCTGGTGGCGCAGCGGGTTAAAGCACAGCACTAAGAAGCTTAAGCCACTTCCCCATGAGTTCAATCCCACCTGCCCCAGAGGTGACCCACATGGCGCGGCAGACCTCTCCTGACCCACCCGCTGCTCCCCTCAGCAGTATACTTGTCGATCTGCCTGTTCTGCTCCCCACTCTGTCCCTGGTGAATCCTCCCAGCCCTCCGCATCTCTGGCCTGTACCCCAGTTCTGTATGAATAAATAAATCTTTAAAAAAAAAAAAGGAATTCCTCTTACACGTTATATTAGGCCACAGGGAAAAGTCATATACAGTATTGATCAAACTTAGATGAGGTAATAGTCAAATCACACAAAAGGTTTTAAAATAGATAAGTAGTCAGCACGAATTGAGGGGAAAAGAGAAACAGGGAAATTACTACTAATGTGTACAATTTCAGTTTTATAAGATGAAGAGCTCTGGAAATTGATTAAACAACAATATGAACATTACCTACTGAACTGATTAAAAGTAGTTAAGATGGTAATTTGTACATTCTGTGTTTTTTATCACAAACAAAAAAAAGATGTGAATAGGCCATGGTAATGAAACAAAAATAATCCAACCAACAATAAAAATGTAAGGACTGTATTTAAATATTTGTTATCTAAATACTGTTTTAGATGAATATAAAGTACTATAACAGGGTTAGCTTGTCTTAATGTATTTATTTTTATCCCCCAGTTACTAAAATGTGTTAATGACAAAGCTAGTCTAATTCAAGTAGCATTCATAGTACATTCTCATAATGGACATTAACAGTCTGCATTTATAAAATTGTAACAGGTACAATTGCGGAATCCATGAAACCTGTACCTATTACAAAATCAGGTATATAACATTAATATTGTTCATAATTACATTAACAAACTTGTGGAATAATAAAGGAATTACGAAGTGACTAGCCCTTTAGAGGAGCATGTGAGAATGTATATCTACATAAAATTATCTGAATGAACAGACAGATACAGAATAATTATAAAATCCAGCTGAAAGTACTGCAACAAAGAGCAAGATGTTATCAGAACATCTGATTTTAAGTCAATACTAAAGAATTTTTTTTTAAATTCCTGCATTAAAATATATTTACTGAGCAGCTACTTTAAGCCAAACATGGTTATATGTACTGATATTAAAATACTGACACAGTATTTGCCCTCTTAGGGTGTATATTATACAAGTAAAGCAGATAACTAGTATCAGAGAACAGTAACTGCTATGAAGAAAATGAGGCATGGAGGGTAAGACAGGTGAAGTCTTGGGATAGAAGACAGGAGCTTAGCAGAAAACTGAAAAACTGAGAATGTATGTCATCCCAATAATCTGCAAAAAGTTCCTACGGGCCTCTCTGGTGGCACAGGAATTAAAGTATCAGCACTGTCAAGCTATCTCCAGCCACTGCAGCACAAGTTCTATCCCTGGCAGCAGAACTCTCCTGTCTTGCCAGCTACTACCCTCAGCAGATTTCATTCAACTTGCCTGTTCTGCTCCCCACTCTGTCTCTGGTGAATTCTCTCAACCCCCACACTTCTGGCTTAGTATGAACCCCAGTTCTTGCATGCATAAATAAAATTCAATCTTAAGAAAAAAGAGAGAAAAGAGCTCCTAAAAGAACAGTAAGCAAAAAGGCCCTGAAGCAGAAGCAATCTTGATGAGTTCAAAGCATAGTAGTAGGAAGCTACAATGTTACAAACAAATGAAAGGATTGCCCACCACTAAAAGTATTCAAGCAAAACCCAAAGGAGTTGATTTTGCAATGGGGATTCTTTCTCCTGTAAAATAGTAAAATTGAAATACCATTAAGGTCCTTCCAACTCTTAGAAATATATAATTCTTAAAATGAATACATAAAACATTTAACATTTTACTTTGCAAAGTGGAAGTGAAGGACAGTTTAATAATTAGAGAGAGCATATCTTTTAACCTGGTCTTTACTGCCATCCGCTAATTTGTAAAGTGACACCTCTCCCTAAGGTTTGAACATACTAGGAGATGTCAGAGAGGAAAGGAGAATAGGGTGAGGAAAGTGATCAACTTATACAAATTCTTGAAAACAATCATTAAAGTCTCCTAACATACATGTGAACAGAAGCTACTACAGGTTTTAGAGCAAGTGAGACTTTCAATTTAACAGAATCAGACTTTCAGTTTAATAGAATCACTCTGGTTGCTACGGTGTGAATGGACTATGGGGGGGTAAAAACAAATAATAAGACCAAGCAGAAAGCCCTATCCATATTGTCAAATAAAAGATGGTGAGGAGCTAGACCAACATGAGTCTATTATGGAAAAGGCTAGAAATAGTTCTTTATTCACAGACTGAAATACAGAGGAGAAAAAAAGAGATGTTAAAGGTAACTCCAGGGCCCTCCCTGGTGGTGCAGCAGGTTAAAGCACTGCACTGAGAATCTAAAGCCGCTTCCGCATGAGTTTGATTCCCGCCTGCCCCAGAGGTGACCACATGGCGTGGCAGACCTCTCCTGACTCGCCCGCTGCTCCCCTCAGCAGTGTACTTCGTCCATCTGCCTGTTCTGTTCCCCACTCTGTCTCTGGTGAAGCCTCTCACCGCCCCTGAGCCTTTGGCCTGTACCCCAGTTCTGTATGCACAAATAAATAAATCTTTTAAAAAAATAAAAACTAAAATTAAAAAAAAAAAAAGTAACTCCAAAGTTTCTGACATAGCCAAATAGGAAGGAATTGCCACTGACTAAAATGATCAAGAATATGGAGATTAAAAAATTCAGTACTGTACATGTTAAATTTGAGATAGAGAACAGTTAAAGATATACAAAGGGAACTAGAAGAATATAGTCCCCTGGAAGCCAGGTGAAGAAGACTTCAGAGAAATAAATTGTATTAATGCGGCTAAGTAAGCTGCGGTCTAAGAAACAGCAATAGATTTCATAATGTGAAGCCATCTATGACTTGAAAAGGATGACATGGTACAGTTCAGAGAAATAAATTGTATTAATGCGGCTAAGTAAGCTGCGGTCTAAGAAACAGCAATAGATTTCATAATGTGAAGCCATCTATGACTTGAAAAGGATGACATGGTACAGAAGGTAAAAAGGGAGAATAAAAACTGACTTGAACAGGTTCAAAAGGCATGGAAAAGGAACTGGAAACAGTGACTACAGACAACTCTTGACAACGTTACTCTAAAGAAGATAGGAAAAACAGGATGGTAAGTGGAAGAAGAGTGGATTCAAGAGTGGAGCATTTTAAATGCCATTCTCTGTTAGGCCTGGAGGCATACACCAAATGCAGAATTAACATCTGTTGTTTACATTTTAAGCTTTTCAAAATGGAACCTCTTAAGTAAAGCTTTAAGTATTCAGAAAAATAGCCTCCTCCTCTGGGCACATACCTGTTCATAGCCTGTATCTTCAGTCCCTCCTCAATGCTGTGACTGAGTGCTTGTTGATTGTTGTGCTTGTTGATCCTGGCTAATACTCTTTCTTGGTGAGCTTCATACTCATCACGACTTGGATAGATTTTGCTGATGAGTGCATCAAAGTTTGGGTCTGGCCTTAGTGATCTTTTGGAAACTAGCTTTTTCCGACATGTAGGACATTCTTTATTGCTAAATACAAAAGGAGGGGGGGAATGTAAACAATGCCAGTATCTTTGGGGTAAAGACAAAAACATCCAATTTCTGACACTGAGCTTCTTTATTCAAATAACTTTACTAAGCTACAGAAACTTAAATTAATTAACTTGGATGTCCTTGAAAATCCGACTTGTGAGTCAGGATTTTGGAAACAAGATTTTAATCAAGATAAACGACCTGCCAAAAGACAGAAATTAGACTACTTCCCAATGACAATTTACATATAACCACATTAGAAATAAAATCTATTCTTTCCCCATTATAAATTTTCCTCCTATATATCAATGCCATAAAATATGTATTAATTAGTATTAATTCTTTTATCAAAACAGTGTTCAAAGGATACTTTTAATATACTTTCTATAAGTGGAAAACCATGATTTCATGCTGTAACCATCAACATACTCATCCTATAACACTTCTAAAATTATATGAAATCAACTATCTCAAAACAAAGATTCCCAAATAACTAAAATCTGCACTTTAGAAATATTTCCAGCTCCCAGATTAGAACATATACAGTATATATTTATCAAAATCCAGAGAGCGTTACTGGTACACTTTAAGAAACTATAACGCATTTCAACATACCCACTTCTGAGGGCTGTGATAATGCAGTCTGCACAAAAACGATGCAAGCATTCCTTTGTAGTCATCGTGTTCTTCAACATATCCAAACAAATTGGGCACATTAACTCACTGTGTAGACTTCGAGGTGAAACCACAATTTCCAAGCCATCAGTTATTGCCTCCTGTAAAAGTCACCTTAAAGTTAATTATGAATAAGTTCAAGCATACAAAAGTACTGAAAACGCTAACAATGTGTGTCTATGTTCTTATAACCCAAAGATCACCACTGTCTACTCACAACTAATCTTAGTTTAATTATATCGCACCTAACTCCCCTCAGTCTCACCGCCAGTGCATTTCAGAAATTATTTGAGTGCCCAAAGAAAATTAATGTACATAAAAGATAACTAATGGTAAGTCTGTCTGGTATAATTAAAAAGAATTAAGTTTGGAATGAAATGCTTTGGGGTTCTAGTTCTTGCTTTAATAACTAATTATGTGGTTGAATTATTGGTTTCCTTATCTGCAAAATGAAGTTAGGAATAAATAAATCCCAAGAATTCTTCCATCTTCAAAAATTACATTCTTCTGATAAATTCATATCATACACTAATGGATTTTAAGATTCCAATATAAATATTCTCTAATTTACATACAATTTAACAGAATTTCATTTTAAAATCACTTCCTGAACTTTAAAGTCTTGGTCCACAGAAGCAGTTTCATAAAAGCGGTCAGGTTCTCAGGCTAACCTACAAACCAATGTAAGTTGTAGCATATCTGAAATGTAACACATAGCATTTCTGATGGTCACATGGAAATAAAATACCATGCTACATTTTGAGCTCCCCTACAAAACTCTAGGACAAGTCTCCCAAGCCCGCTTACAGTGACATCTCTCTTCACCATCAACACTCACCCTTCCCACAGGAACCACTAAGAACAAAAATGACCTGGCTCTAAAACCACCAATACTGCTTCCTATGGATCAGAAAAAAGGTCTAGTAAAATGGTCACTGAAAAAGGAAGATGCAGACAGAAATAAGGGCTTCCCATATGCTACTGACATTTCCTGTTTCTACTGGCTCTCCAGCATTTTGTGTTTTCTCCATGGGGCTTAAGATGTGACTCCACAGGACAGATACAGAAACTAAAAATAATGTTCAAAAAGAACTCAAAACAATTACATTTTCAATAATTATCACATTTATGAAGTATCTATTATGTTTCAACCTCTCTTTATAAAAGCACATTCTATGTTGTTTGTTAAATTCATAAAGTTTTGATACAGAAGTATAACCTCTACTTTGTAGCTAAAAATAAAACTACAAAGAATACCATGATGACTCATTTATGTAATGAGGTCTGTCTTTTCCTGTTCAGAACTTGCCCAGCAAAACCCCCAACCCTGGATAAACTCAGTAGTCCATGTTCTCCATACCTGTACCTGTGTAGGTGTTAGTACTGTGCAGCAAGATGGGGAAGAACTAGAAAGGTAGCACTAAAAATTTCACCAGTCTTAAGTAGGTGTTAACACTGCTTAGCAACTGGGTTTCTACAACAAACTCATCTTACCTCTCACACTATATACACTATTTTATGCCTCTTTCTAACTGCAGACTTTCCTCCACCTGAATGTGCAATAGATTACAAGGAGAAATTATACCTCTTTTTATGAAAGGCACACACCCTCATACCTTCACAAGTTAGTCTCTCTGATTATCTCATCAAACTTCAGCCATCTCCCCACTAACCAGCTTAGATTACTTAACTTCACATCTGAACACTGAAGTATGAATGATGCAGCTTAGAGCTGGGGAGAGTGTTTCCACAAGGTTTGGGTGGGTTTGCACTGGCAGCTGTACATGGTCAGATGTGACGTGGCTACAAACCAAATGAATCGCATGGCTGCATACCAAGGAGTGAGTAAAGGGGTCAGTAGTAATGCGATTCCCCAGCTCCATTCTGCTTCATGGTTAACATCTGACAAGAGTCCTTCCAGAAACTAAATTGCATACCAGGAACTGAGCAAAAGGTCATCACTAAGATCCCCAGTCTGTTTGTCTCAGGCCACCATGCTTCAGTCATCCGGTATACATTGCCTGATCTAAAACATAGTTTTAGGGCCTCCCTAGTGACACAAGGGGTTAAGTTTCAGCACTATGAAACTACCCACAGTCTCTGCAGTAGGACTTCAATCCCTGACCAGGCACCCACATGACACAACAGCACACCTCTCCTGACCGACAGACTGTTCCACTCAGCTTGTATTTCAGTACAGCTGCCTGTCCTGCTCCCCACTCTGTCTCTGGTGAATCCTAGCATCTCTTCCCACCTCTGGCCTACACACCAACTCTTGTATACATAAATAAACAAATCTTTAAAAACAGAAAATGAAACACTTTTGTTAATTCTCATCTCAATCTTTGAGCAGTGTATGCAGGAATTCCATTCTCATTCTAAAATGCTACTCTTAAGATTTTGATCTCCTCTCTCCATTTTTTCCCATTTTCCACTAGGTGTTCCTTCTCAGTCTCCTTTTGCGGTCCCTTATCTATTACTTAATTTCTAATTGTTGATGCTCCTCTGGATGATGTTCTGGGCCCTCTCTGTTCATCTTACTGTAGGTGACCATATCATTCCCACTACTTAAAATGTCCTAACAACCCCCAGAATTTCTTATTTAGTCTAGGCCCTTGGTTAGCATCTCTGCCTGTCTTACTGGCTTATCAAACTAAGACTGGTTTTGAGCATGTTCATTTCCTCAAACTGCTCCTCCTCCTCCAGTCTTTCCTATCTTTAAATAATGGAATAGTCTTCCCTAGCCCTTTAATCCCACACTATTTATTACAGCACTGAAGTCTTCCACTTTACACACTTCTCAAATTCTACAGATACTTATTTGCTGAATGTCTATAAACTTCAGGGGCCGGTGCCACATATACTTTATTACCTTTGTTCACCTAGTTCCTACCTTGGCAGCAGGTAGAGAATATGCACTCAAATTATTTGTTGAATGGTCAATCAAAAAATCTGAACTTCTTGCATACAGATTTATTGTTGCTGCTATATGCTTTCAAGTTTTCATCTTCAAAAAATTGTATCCCATACTTTTTATTGTATCTCATACTTTCCCTTAAGTGATCTTAGTCCACATTACCTGAGGTGTTCGTTGTAATTCATATAAACTGAGTTCCCATGTTTTGCTTAATGGCTGAGTTCCATTTGTCTGCACAGCTTGAGACATTGCTAGGAATTTAAAAAAAAAAGTGAAAACAATTTTAGTATCTGAAAAGGAAGTAAATCTCAAACTTGATTTTTATAAATATTGACTACCAAGAATATTTTTAATTAGAAATTATATAGTAGTTCCTCAAAAAAAATCAAATAAGCTCAAGAATCTTTCTACTTATAAATATTAGATACTTGACACCAAGAGACTATCATTTATTTTTGAATGAATAACAACTGGCACAGGAAAGGGCTTAATTATGAGGTGAATGCACAGAAAACTGCTTTAACCCAAAACAATAAATATTTCTGAAATTCATAGCCACAGAACTTAGAATTAAACCCAGAAAATTTCAGGCTCTTCAGCATGGCCATCTCAGACTTTAAACCATCAGTCATTTTGCCTCTACTTACACAGAGCTACTCAAGAAAAACTCCCTACCTAATAAAACAGCTTGAAACAGATTCAGAAAGCTCATAGTGCCAAGTCCCAAACTACTCATCCTTCAGTTGCCTTCTGGAGGCAAAGTGACTAGTCTTAATAATTTTTCTACATGATAGCACACCAAATAGTTGGTCACCACGAGGATGTCCCACATGTTTTTCCTTTCCTTTGGTTCAAATACCCTAGTTCCATCTAATTTTCATCATGTGACACAATTTCAAGGTCTCCACACCACTCTAATTCATTAGATTTTGCATTTCCTCTTCTGCTTCCTTTTTATCCTCTTCGGTTTTTTATTAAGAGGATGTGATCTTGTAAGAGTGAGGAAGATGGTCTTAAAAAAACTAGCTGCTATTAAGTTCTTGCTACAGGTTCATAGCCTAAAAAGAAAGAAATGCATATATAAGCTATACTACTATCTGACAAACTTTAAGCAGCATTATAGAAAAAACATCTGGGATACTGAGGAGTTCCCAGGACAAAAAGGGGAAAATTGTAAAAGTTCAGCAGAGATTTAACAACCTTAAAGAAGAGATTATTCTACAAGAACTTAGGCAATAGTGTAGAAGGTAGAGGAATGGAAAATAACTAGCAGTCAGACCAGTGAATAGCTATTACAAAAACCTCAATTACATTAGCTATCTAAACCAAAGCAATTGAATATAGAAAGAGTGAATTAGACAAACAGGCCCTTAAGGGTTACACAGAACATAAAGGGTCAATTATGTCTTTGGGAAAACAATTTTTTTTTTGGCCTGTTCTTTTTATTTTATTAAGATAACACTGGTAAACAGCACTGTATATGACTTAGGGGTATAGTTCACACCAGGTATTTTTGCCACACCACACCCACCACCAAAGCATCTGTAATCTTCTACCATAGTCGATTTGGGCTCCTTCCCCCTTTACTCTCCACTTCAACTACTCACTCTGGTAGTCTCAATTCTTCAGTTATATGTCTAGGGTCTGTTTTGGTTTAGTTTTGTGTGGTCCCTTGTTATATTTCTTTATATTCCATGTATGAGTGAATCAACTGGTATTTGTCTTTCTCCTTCTGACTTATTTCACTTATAATCCTCTCCAGTTCTATCCATGTTGACACAAATGGCAAGAGTTCATCTTTTTAATCGCTGATAAGTATTCCAGTGGGTATATATACCAAACTTCTTTTTCTTTTTAAGATTTATTCTTGCATACAGAACTGGGGTACAGGCCAGAGGTGCAAGAGTGGTGAGAAGATTCACAAGAGACAGCAAGAAACAGAACAGTCCAATTGACAAAGTACACAGCAGGCAAGAAAGAAGAGGTCTGCTGTGTCATGTGGATCACCTCTGGGGCTGGGGATTGAACTTGCATTGAAGTGGCTATGGCTAGCTTGCAGTGCTGTACTTTAACCCGCTGTACCACCAGGGAGGGCCATATACCACATTTTCTTAGTGTACTGGAAAGCAACCATTCGTTGAGATGAAGAACTCAGAAGAGGTAGCTTAGAAGAGAAACAGAGGGCCCTCCCTGCTGAAGCTAAAGCCCCTTCAGCATGAGTTCGATCCCAGCCCAGAAGGTGACCCATATGGCACAGTAGACATCTCCTGACCCACCCACTGCTCCCCTCAGCAGTGTACTTCTTTGATCTGCCTGTTCTGCCCCCCATTGTCTCTGGTGAATCCTCTTACCATAGCTGAGTCTCTGGCCTGTACCCCAGTTCTGTATGCATAAATAAAAATCTTTTTAAGAAAAAAAAAAGAAGAGAAATAGAGATGCCTACACACTGAATACCAGTTGTTTATAGACCATTGAGATAGTAGTCAAGCAGACTATGAGAAAGGAAAAGTCAACTCCTGCCTAAAGACACAACCTACACTTATTTAAGTCACATTTTCTACACCAAGAAATAGAAACAAAGGACATAGATTTGTTTGTATTCGGGAAGGTGAATTTCCCACACTCAGCTGTTATCACTGAAACAATCTTGTTCGCAAGAACTGGTCAATATGCTTTGATCAGTAAAAGCACTTCATTGAAGGTTAAATCCTATTTCTCTCTAAATTCACTATAGCTCGCCTCTTCCTTTAGCAAATATTGCATTTCCACATAAAGCTTCTCCCTTTACCCAAGCAGAAATTTGAAACAAGTATGTACAAACTTTGCACATTTAAGTGACTTTTGTTTAAAACTCTGAGGCTTCCCCTTAGTTTACCTTAAGGATTTACTTGGCTTATTTGAACTAGTACATTCACAAACAGCAAGTATTCCTCAAGCTTTTTGTACTTTAAATAAAATTCTCTTTCAGCTCCATCATGATCCCCATCAGTGCTCTTCACAGTTATCAAAAATCTGAGCAATTTTTCACAGAGCTCTTGCTACTAACCTAGCTAAGTTTATAAATTCTAAAATCAGTACTATGGTTTTTGGGGGGCAGTCCTGTGTGCTTTGACTTCACTTTCTGAGAATCTTGAACTGAAAAGTTTTGGATAGGAAATTTCTCCTTAGTGAAATGCTATTTTGTCTGTATTACTCAATTTTTTTTTTTAACCAGGATTGAATAATGGCACGAAATACAAATGACTGTCTAGTCAATCTTTAGAAGTTAATGAATATGTAAGTTCCAACAACAAACTTTGTCATGACACTTTTAAAAATCATGAGAAAATTCTCTCAGAGACAACCTTATTTAATGCAGGAGACCTTTTCTCCTCACCTCTATAATCTGGGACTAAAAGTTTAACACACTATTGAAATTTGCAATGCACACTATCCTATCCTAGTGAGCCTTTGTTGTGTACTGAAGAGGGGTTCTCTGTATCTAAACCTGCAAATTTCTCCTGCCAAGCTCTTATACTTTTACTATAATCCTAATTATTGTTCTTATAAGGCTACATAAGCAAAATTTCTCCAATGTTGATTTGCAATTACCTCAGCTATTACTGACAATTTTGGAAAGATAATGATAACATCTAACCTAAGCTCCTGGAGAGGAGAAAAAGTCCCAAATACAAAGACCAGTATTTTGACTGTAGAGACCTCAAAATGAAACTCGTTAAACTTCCAAATAGCACCCCTGAAAGAGTCTCTGCCAAATTAAAAAAAAAAAAAAATCACTAATTATCTGCGAAACCTGGCCTAACTAAATACCAACACAATCATGTTTTAGCATCATCACTTTACCTGTATTCCTTATTCCCATATATAGCCCCTCCCTTAAAATTCTTAAATGAATTGTCCTTTCCTCAAGGTCCTCTCCAAGAAAACAACCAATATAACCTAACACCTGCTTAAAAAATAAATAAATAAACCCTTCAGCCTCTAAATATTCAGAACAAAGAGGTACCATTCCAAATTAGTCTAGAATCTAATTTGTCGCTGAATTTAACGTGAACTATCTGTAAATATGGGCAGTCAACTTCCTTGCAGACGCATATGCTGTTATTTCTAACATAAAGTCTACTACAATAAAATGAATATCAAAGAACTGAAACTACTCGAACTGAAACTATTCAAACAGAAGGAGTTTATAAAAACAGCAAATCCTAGCTCATGCCCAAACTTTTTTTTTAAATATTAATAGTTTATTTTTACATCATTCTGTGCCTTTTTCCAACTCAGTTGTAATCCCTGTGGGCTCCCCATCACCAAATCACCCGTGTGCCATCACCATAGACCAGTGCACTTCCCTCCCTCCCACTTTTGATTCCACTCCCCACTCCACAACCCCATAAAATGTCTCTGGCACATAGCTGTTCATTATTATTTTCTCACCTGGTTATACTCCTGCTATGAGTGAAACCATCCGGTATTTTTCCTTTTCTTTCTGGCTTATTTCACTAAGCATGATCCCTTACAGCTCCACCCATGTTGCTGCAAAAGGTATGTGTTTTATCTTTTTGGATTGCTGAGTAATATTCCATCGTGTATATGTACCACATCTTTTTAACCCAGTCATCTACTTTTGGGCATTTGGGTTGATTCCCTATCTTTCCCATTGTAAATAAAGTAGCAATGAACACGAGGGTGCAAATGTTTTTGTGTGTCTTTTGGGTAGATACCTAGGAGTGGGACTGCTGGGTCATATGGAAGCTCCATATTTAGCAGTTTGAGAAACCTCCAAACAGTTTTCCATGTACTAGTTTGCATTCCCACCGCAGTGCAGGAGTTTCTTTTTCTCCACATCCTCGCCAACATTTGTTGTTGATTGTTTTTAATTTTTATCTCCCTTACTACAAGTGATGTTGAACATTTTTTCATATGCTTGATGGCCATCTGCATTTCCTCTTTGGAGAAGTGTCTTTTTAGCTCCTCTGCCCATTTTTTGATGCGGTTGTTTATTTTTGTTGAGTGTCATCAGTTCTTTGTATAGCTTTGTGATCAATCCTTTGTCGCTAGTTTTGTGTGAGAAATTTTTCCCTGTCAGTGGGATGTCTGCTTTTTTGTAATGTCTCTTTTGCTGTACAGAAGCTCTTTAACTTGATGTAATCCATCTGTTTATCCTTTCTTTCACTATCACTGGATGCTATATCTTCAGAGATGTTACTGAGGTGTATGTTGTGTAGTGTTTTGCCCCTCTTTGCTTCCAGGT